TGTCGCTGTCCGAAAACCCCGAATTTCACGAGAGAACAAAACATTTCCAAATCAGACATCATTATATTCGTGAAAGAGTAAAAGAAGGAGACATAAAAACAAAGTATTGTCCTACCAATGACATGACGGCGGACATACTCACAAAACCTCTCCCGAAACCGAGACATAACCAACATGTCGAAGGACTTGGACTAGGCTCGGATTGAGGGGGAGTGTTGGGAGATGAATAAAAGACATCATGTCACTCCCGACATGTCCGAGACGTCGGATACCTGGGCACTGCCCAGACATGCGTAGAAACTGCGCATGAGGCTCCTGTGTGGAGCGATTACTAAGAAAAGCTCCTAAAAAGTAAATAGAAGCCCCTGAACATGATCCGATGCCAATCCGAGCAGACAAGTCCAAGAGACTAGTAATATATTAGCAATCCGTAGAGGAGAGTACTCCTAATAGCCAATACAAACGAAAGACTAGTATAAAAGTAGTCTAGAAGTGAAGCAAAACTTTACCAGTGCAGACACCTCACATCCGCGCGAACCCAAAAGGGTCAATTCAACTCGCACTGTAGTGTAGACCAGTATAACATTCAAGGTGAGCGGTCCCGCCCTAAAATGCTAGGCATACACTGAGAAAGATGAAAAGCTGGGACTGCGCTTGACGTCTCGTTCTTGATCAACTTTCTACCATCTTATCTATACCCATCTGGTGAGCGTACGATTGAAGAATGGGGTGTCGGAGGAATCAGCTTGGGAGGACATGCTTCATGGATAGCTCTCAGCAAAGGTATGTCTCGAGTCCAATGCACGTATGCGGGAATGGCTCAACCGTACAAAGACCCACGTCTCTCGTTTGGCATTCCCATCATTGGGTGCCCCGACTACATCAGTCTCATGACGCAACGTGCCCAACGGGCATCGGTGCCGTTCGCTCCGCCTGTTGTACCAGATTTATTTGTGGAGTACGTGAAGAAGAATGATCCTGCGCAGCAGCCGTACAAAGCCACAGACCAGTCGAATCCATTCCTGGGCAAGAAAGTCTGCGTGCTTTCCGGAGGTGCAGACACACTGGTTCCATGGACGTCAAGCAAAGAATTCGTAGAGGGTCTGGAAGTAGGCGATGGTGTCAAGGAGGTGTTTGTGGAGGAGGGAGCTGGACACGAGTGCACTCCTGCTATGGTGGATAAGCTTGCCAAGTTTGTGTGGAAGATTAGTCTAAGCAAGTAGAGCAGTAAGATTAAGGGGTAGAATTTTCACACGGTTTAACCTTGACGCGTCCCTAGGCGTCCATTCTACTTGCACAAGCGGGAATCCTGACATCGACGCGCCCAGAGGGCATGGATGAGACTGAACGGACAAGCGCGGCGTGCATACGCGTCACTGGCCATGGAAAGATGAAAGACTTTATTCGGCACGCACTCGAGCACTTTCAGGTTTGTCCCTTCATCCATAGGCAAAGCAGCATTCTCATAATGAGCAGAGCAAACCTGGTGAACCGCTGACACTCAAGACACCGCCAACAGAGGTGGGAAGCTCGGCCATTCCTCGGTTGGTATCCGTCGTGGAAATCATCAAGAGGGAGTACTTGGAGAGTCTTGACATCGCGTCGAGTGAATTGGATGGACTGCACCAGTACAATCGTCTTCTCGCTGTAAGACAAGAAATTGGCGAGGGCACAGATGGAGGTATAGACCTGGCTCAGGCATTGGAAGGGAAGAACCAGTAGGTCGATTCTCGAGGGCACATAACGGGTGACTGACGATTGCATCGAGCAGTCCCAAACAAGTATTCCACCCCTACATGGAAGTAATACTGAGCAAAAGTGTGTTGCCAGATCAAGCAATAGGAGATGCAACGTATGTTGAATTCTTAAGCTTGTTGGATGAAAATATTGTCTGACTGGCTATCATGCAGATACCAAGCTCCTGAGAGGAAACGGGTGAGCAAGGCAGCTAAGGAAAGGGCGAAGCGGCAAAAGAGAAAGGAAAGAGAAGAGGGTAATAATAGTATTACGTAATAGAATATTGTTTTCACGCGGGTCGAGTTTGTTACCCGGCTAGTTTGATTTCAGCCTGTGCCGCCTTCAAGTGGTTGTGTACCCCCCTGCAATTGTCTGCCATTCCGCTTGCTGCGCCGCGCCTCGCTCTTGGACACTCGACAATACACCTACAGCTGGATTGTCAGAAGACAGACCTTTGGTTGAGCTCAGCTTTGCAGACTGTTTGGTGTGTCGTGTAGGGAAGTGAAAAGGACGACTAGCCGGAAGTCGAGACGTGCACGCGCGTTTGTCGCAGCGTTTCCGAGGACCAAAGCCGCCGGTCGATCTCCGACCTTTTTATAAAAGTGTAGAGTGAGCTGCAATGCCTCGCCGCAACCCTGCTCGCCAACAACCCCGCCCCTCCCCTCCTCCGCCACCCCAGCGACTCCCTCCTCCTCCCCCACAGCTCTCCGACGATGTCCTCCAACTCAGACGCCATTGGAAGTGGGCCGCCTTCTCCCAGTTCTTCTACACCTTCAACCAGCTCTTTGGCACCAATGACATCACTATAACAGTCCGTCTGTCACCTCATTCTCTCACTCTCATCGTCGCTCATCCATATCTAGGACATCGAGAATGACCTCGTGCATTCCACTAGTGTTGCTCTGCCCCGAATCATGCAGAGACTCTTGTACACTGTCACTCAGGACAGAAAGGTCTCGTGAGTGCACTCACCATGACCTCTGAACCTCTGTCACATCTCTTCCCTAGTCTCGACAATTGGCAGACATCTCTTCGCAAACAGTATGCCAAGAGAGATCCAGACGCGAATCCTATTGGTCCATTACCAAGCGATAAATCCACGCGAGCAACCGAGTCCTTGCGTCCCTCCGAGGCTCCCGTGAAGAGCTCCCGGGCCCCTTCAACCACAGCGAGCAACCACGGTCAACTCGATGGCTCACGGGCCGATGATGATGAACGTCCTTCAGGTCGTGACACGTCTGGACATCCTAAAGCTGAAGACCAAGAGACGTCTATGGACCAACCTTCCAAGGATATCAAGGACGAAGACACTTCCCAGATCGCTGATCAGACCAACGTGGATGCGGACGCTGACGAAGCAGTTCCTGAAGAAGATGAAGATGAGGAGGAAACGCTTGTGGACTGGCTCACCTTACCCATGATGGTCAAGCTAGAGTCTATGCATATAGTCATGGAGTGGCATTTCCAGAATCCATACCGTCTCCGCTCCCTCATGAAGGATGACGATGAAACTGCTCAATGGGTCCGTGTCTCTTTTCTTTCTCTATTTTGTATTGTCTCATTCTCCAGTAGCGCATCGAACCAATTGGTTACGACTCAAAGAGGAATGCGTACTGGCTCATCGGTGGTGAGCCGATCTTTCTCATTCTGCCGCACTGTATTAATATAGACGTCCGCAGCTGATCGACTATGGATTCAACGAGAACCTCCGCGAGCAAATCATAAGCGCAAGCGTCCTACTAAAAAGGATGGTTCAAGCAAAGGGAAAAGCTCGCAACAGGCCAACATTGCGCGTCCATCCAAACGTGCCCGCCTCGAATCTTCCTCTGCAGCTCCGGTAGCCTCGACGTCTACTCCATCAAGGCCAACAAGGCGCAGCGCGCAAACCAGTGCCCCAGCCTCGCCGAGCACACCTACAGGCCGAAGCAGCCGTGCTGCGAAAGCTCGTGCTAATCAAAAGCTTGACGCTCAGGCCAAGGACCTTGCCGAGTACCAGCGGCTGGTGCGCTCCCAAGCTCATGCTAAAGCGCAGCCAGCAAGTCCGTCCAAGTCAAACCATCCAACCGGTACGAGAATGAGTGCGCGGCTGAGAGGAAGCAGTGGCGATGTAGAATGGCAAGAGGTTCCAAAGGAGTGGCTTGACGATGGCGGTTCTGGTGTCAAAGGAAACAATACCTCTTCCTTGCGAAATGAGATCAAGAAACTCAAGACGGGGCTGGAAAGCGACGATGACAGTGCCAGCGAATTGACTGATTTGTCTGATTTATCTGAGGATGGGGGAGAGAATAGTGAACAGGTCAGTCGATCAGAGGAAAAGGGAGAACGTGACGAGGACACCGAGGCCGGGGCGGAGCCAAAGGAAGCTGGCTTCGTGGAATGGGAAACGGTGTGCAAACCCATTGTGCGATGATTGCTTGACTGATCTCGACTGGGCAGATATGTGTCACGTTAGAGGAATGGGAACACGTAGCGGATCGCTTTGCGAAGGCCGCACATTACTCAGAAAAGGCTTTGTATAAAGTCCTGACGCAGGTTATTGTGCCAGCAGTCACTTCAGACCTCAGGGTGTGTGCACTGTATACGTCTCAGTCAAATTTGTCTCATTACTTTTTCAGGAAATTAATCAACGCAGACGCATGGACGAAGCCGTTTCGCACCGCAAACGGTCGGCTCGGATTGCCTTCAAGGAAAGCGAGAAGGAGGAGGAGCAGAGAAAGGTTCAGCAGCGTGCTGAGGAGGAAGAGAAGCTTAGTCGCACGCGGAGACTGGAAGCACGGATCAAGAAGGAGGAGGAAGAGCGTCAAAGAAAGGAGAATGCGAGGGAGCAGCGGAGGAGAGAAAGGGAGGAACGAGAAGAAAACAGGGCTCGTCTGACAGAGGAAGCGGCAAAGTCCAGACAGTGAGTTTTCCAGCTCTTCCCTTGATTATTTAATGGAATTGTTTGCAGGACTGGTAAAGAGAAGGGATCCGGCCCATCCCAATCTCCGGCTGCATCTGTACTCACAAACGGTGTATCAAGCAAAGCAGAAAGTGGCACTCGGACTCCTGGGGAGGATTGGGAACTAGATTGCGAGATCTGTCAACGTCGAGGCATGAACCAGGTAGGTGTCGGCTTTTTTTATTAGCTCTCTTACGTACCCGAGCTTGGTACAGGATGACAATACGCCGTTGATGTGCTGTGGATCGTGCTCAAGATGGCAACACATCATCTGTCACGATCGTCGAGATGCTCACGCTGGCCGCCCGAGGCGTGACTGGGACAAGGAGGACTTTGTCTGTGAAAAGTGTCGTCAGTCACGGTTAGCCAAAGCCGCTAGTTTGCACCCTTCGATCGCTGGCATGGGGGATGCATATGCTTATAGGGGTGCTCCACCTCGAGTCAACCACAACGCCGTTCCATCGTACAATCACTACCAAGCTCCTGTGGGCAACGGTCATGCCATTCCTTCCATGGCAGCAAGCCTCCGTGGCTCTTTGTATTCTCCAGGCGGGAGCGCTCATCAAACCCCTGTATATCACAATCAGCCTGGTGTCACGTTTGCCCATTATCAGCCGCAGCAGGGTGGTTTCTCTACATCTCGACCTTCATACGCGGCCCAAGACCCGAACCATGCTCAGCCATATTATCCCCAGACACAAGGGCCATCGCGCCCAACGCAGTATCCCTCGTACACGGTAAGTAAATATACAGTTACAATCGGACCTCGTGCGTACGCTAATAATGGTTGCAGGAAAAATGGCACACCGCATCCTATCCCCGCCCAGGAGCCTCATATGGGGCACCTTTTGTTCAGACTTATCCTCACAACGCGTACGGTCATTACGGGGACCAGTCCTCCCACGTTGCTCGTGCCCCACAATCAGATGTGCGCAGCAACGGTAATCAAGCAGCAGCTCATCAATACCCTCCGTACGACTACAACAGATGATGGAATAGCGTCGATCATCTGTTCTGCACTCTGCTCTCGGATATCCACCTAGTAGTATTATTAGAAGTTGGACTAACTAGAGCCATTTCGCGGGTAATTTAGATGGCATAAGTGACTGGGTATGTGTATAGGATTTTGTAGACTATAGCTCTTCTCTGTAATGTCAGCGTATCGTTTCGTACATCTTGAACTTTTGTGAAACGAATGGGAATGGATCCTCGTCTGTCGTGGTTTCTCTTGTAGGTGATGATTACCATTAGTTCATACCGAGAAGCCTTAGAATAGGTTGGTACTCACTCGATAGGTCCCAAAATTCGGAGGCCTCGAATGTGTGTATCCTTACCGCTCATGTGGTTGGCGACAACAATTACTTGCAGAATGTATGCGTTAATAGGTTTCCTGAGTGAGCGTGTCAGAACGGATGGAGACCAGGAGGTTTATCAACATGCAGGGAGGAGCCATCGTTATCAGGTTCTGAGGAGACATCAAAGGTAATCCATCCGTCTGGCTTGTCCAGCGTTGCAACTCGCACGTCTTGCAGGTCGCTTGGACCCGTGCCCGCTCGGACAGCAATTGTGGAGGGCGTGTAGGAATCATCCTGCGGCCAGCTGAGGTAAATGCTGATTTTCTGCACGAACCCATATGGTTGATAGGTCAGGCACCGTCACTACAGACCAATACTATACATGGATACCTGTATGGCAACCTTGCGAGGGAACTCGATGGTTATGAAGTGGGGCTGCGGACCGTCAGAGCTAGACGATGGTGAGATGCGAGCAAACTCTGACAAAGGACATACTGCCAGAACGTTTCAGGGTCTCCATCCCGAAGGCACTCGGCGCCAAAGCCGAATTTGTATGACGAGACAGACCAACGAGCAAGTCTGCCTATGTCAGGCCATGGCAGGACAGGAGGAGTCCTCGCTGGTACAGGTAGGTCAGAAGGTGTACTGGGAAGCGCCAGGATGGATGAATGCACACTGGAGTGAATTAGCGTAGTGCCGTCCATAGGTATAGCTGCGTTGGGTTGAGAGCCATTTACATGGGCAAATGCGCCAGGTTGTGGGGCTGGTTGTTCTGGCACACCCGGTGTAGGCGGGGCAGACATGTTTCAGGATCCTGAAATCTTGAGTTGAATTAATGATGGTCAAGGGAACGTCAGTTAGGGGCTATTTACTCAAATGATACCGACATCTTCGCGGACTTGCAACTGGCCCGAGTAGATCTCCGAGTGTCCTTACTCTACCACATACATACCCGACAAATAACATTTTGTTGAACGCACCCATTCTCTGGCCATGGCTGACGGCATATCTAATGCGCTTCCCCTCGAGGACTACAGGAGATACGGAAGACAGATGATCCTGGATGGTTTCGGTCTTCCAGGTGAGATGCTGTCATTAAAACATATTTCGCGGAAACTTATCACCTCTTCAGGACAAACAAGCCTGAAAAGATCATCTGTAGCAGTAGTAGGCGCGGGTGGCCTTGGATGTCCCGCTCTGCAGTATCTTGCCTCGGCTGGTGTTGGTACGGTTGTGTGGGCCGTGCCTTTCTCATTGAAACCAACCAAATTCACGTCACAGGAAAGATCACCGTTGTGGATCACGACAGTGTCGACCTGTCGAATCTCCAAAGACAGGTCATTCACCGAGAAAGCTCTCTGGGCACATCGAAGGCAGCTTCTGCCATGCGATTTATCCATGAGTGTGTTACTAATCGGTGAATAACCACAGTATTGATGACGAAGTCCAGCCTCAACTCGACGATTCAAGTGACAGCAGTTGAGAATGCGTTGTCATCTGAGAATGCGTTGGCCTTACTTGGTGGACATGATGTCATACTGGACTGTACAGACAATGCACCGACGCGGTATCTACTCTCTGACACTGCAGTACGATTGCAAGTTCCCTTAGTCAGTGGTGCGGCCCAGAAATTCGACGGTCAACTTTGCGTGTACAACTACGGGGCCGATGGACCGTGCTATCGATGCATCTTTCCGAAGCCCCCTTCTCAGGAAGCAGCCCCTCCATGCGAGGAGACTGGGATCTTGGGAGCTGTTACTGGTATCATCGGGACAATGCAGGCTTTGGAGACTATCAAGATTCTTACAGGTCTACACGGCAAGTATAGATCTCTTATTTGGCGAGTTGCTTGCTACATGAACTTTGAACAGATGGCAAGCCGGCGATGCTACTGTTCTCAGCTCTCTCGTTTCCTGCCTATAGAACCGTTAAAATGAGGACGAGAAGGCCGGATTGCATCGCATGTGGCAACAAGGGCGCCAACATTGACCTGATAGAGACTACGGATTACATTGCATCCTGCGGTGGCGTACGGCCCAACTTCGAAGCTACCGGGCTTTTACCTGGATCACCCGGTCAGAGGATTCGAGTGCAGGTAAATCCACGTGTCTTGAAAGCATTGTGCTATTAAAACTTCAGCACAGGAATTGTACGACATGGTGTTGTCCAACAGGTCGCCCTTTGTCATTGATGTCAGACCTGAAACAGAATTTGGGATATGCCACCTTCCAGGTTCATCCAGTAAGCCAATTCACAAACTGGTGACGTACAATTCTTAAATCTTTCCTCAGATATACCACTACCTAGATTCGTTGCCGAGCCGTCATCACACATACCTAAGGATAGGAAGGACGTTTACTTCATTTGTCGCTTGGGGAATGATTCTCAGATCGCAGCTGAGGCACTGCGTGGTGTTAGCCCAGAACTAAGAGCAATGGACATCGTTGGTGGACTGAGAGCTTGGTCGAGAGATATCGATTCCGAATTTCCAGTTTATTAGCTATAATACAAGGGCCTGGTTCTTGCATGCGGATATGAGTACAAGCCTTACAAGCTGCATACACTGCTAAGCGTCTAGAGATAAGGGATACACACTACTTCTTCAGCCCAGCTTTCAACCATTTGGGAATCTTCCTTTCTGTTGATTGTGCGTTGGAAGTTGGGGTGTTAGAAGTGCTGCCACTTGGGGGACTCCGTGGCTCGGCGTCAAACCTGAGCGGCGCTGGCAGGTCGATGGCTTGTTCCAACATCAAAGGCAAAATAGGTGCAGGCATTTGGGTACCTATACTGGGTCAGGTTCGAACGAGGCATTTGGACCAGGGTTGACTAACTGTTTAGATGCTCGTCTTCGAAACGGAGCATAAGGATGGACGAAGGCGCCAACTGCAGCTGCGCCAGTGTCAAATCCCGAACGTTAGGATCAGAGACTCTCAAGTCCCGTTTAGGTGGTGTCTGGTCTGGGTACAGGATTAGAATAAAGGGCTGAGTTGTCGGCGTAAATGAGAGAGGCGTCAGACCTACATAGAATAAACTTGATAGGTTTTACGTCGTCACGTAGCGAGGAACGAACGAAAGCGTAAATAGAGCGAATCTTGTCAGTTGATGGGAAGACTTTCTCGAGTTGTGTCCTGTCCGGAAACTTGACACGGATGGTGATCTGTACATTCCAGTGAGCGGCAAGAAAGGTGCAACGAAATAGATGGTTCAACGTTAGGCCACCGATCTCTCTTGGCCTTTTCTTCAGCTTCCCGAGCAGCGCGAAGCTGCAATGGGGCATTGGTGAGTGCCTGAGTTCGTGCGGATAGCGTGGCTTGTGCTGCCTTCAAATCAGCGGCAGTAGGTGTGAAGTAAGAGTCAGGCAGGTTTGGTACTGTATCATTCCCTTTTGAACCACGATGAGGATCAATGGAAACAAGCTCATACCATTCGTATTCGATGTAGCCAGCGGTGGTTTGTAAACCTTAAAATCGGCAGGCAGATCGGAGGAGTTGGCAGAGGATGTCGATTGAGGTGTAGATGTATTGTCTGACATGATTACACTGCGGAAAGACTACTTGACGTTACTACGGTGCAAAACACATAAGGTGCTCTGCTCACGATGAGCTTTCCAGGTACTTGGTTTTTGAGGGCTGAAGCTGTAGTGAAGATGGTCAGCGTTCTTGCGAAGGAAGGAAGTTGGATGGGATTCAGAAGTGTAAATAGTTGTCTCATAGCACAACTCTCTAGGCCCGCCGGCAAGCGAGCCCTTAGCAAGAGAAGTGACTCGAACGCAAATTACTAGTACCATCATGAAGAAAAAGGCGGAAGTGGGCTTACCTGCGATAAAACGGAAGGGTGTAAGTGTCTAAGGGAGGGAGTGGATGCCTAGCTGGCAGGAAAGTTGATTAGAGGAATGGCGTGAAGAGCGTGTGAAAGGCTGACAAAACTACAACGAGTACGTACAGCGGACCGAGGTGGTGCTTAGGGGTAACGACAGCGAGAACTCAGTTATGCCAGACGATCATCATCACCACGACGGCTGCAGCCATGAACACCATGACCATGACCACGATAGTCCAGATGCTGGGCCAAAGGACAATTTGTATCCATATATTGATCGCCCAAACGTCGTTGCATTAAATGCCTCTGGTAATGGCCAAGACGTCATCAAACCTTGGGACGAGCGAAATAGCGACCAAGCAGTAAGCACAATCGATATACTGCTAGCCTTATGGCACTACATTCAACTAAAACATATAGTTCGTCGAGTCAGATGCTGACGACCAGCTGTAAGACTTCAGATTCATACAAAAGCCAGTGTTAAATATCAACTCATTCATAAGAATCATTCGCATTCCATTCACCGGCTCCGTCAAGCTACGGTCTGTTCTGCTCAAGGCAGGACCAGGTGACCTTATCCCCACGAAGATGGCCTTGGTAAGTAGTGGACCTTGGCTATACAGAAGCATTGCCTGATATTCTGGTAGTTTGCAAATCAGCCAGATCTGGATTTCAGCGATATTGCTGACAAAACTCCCGCACAAGAATTTGAAGTTGCACAAGGGAAAGAAATAGCAGAGTACACAGTCAAGTCCGTTGTCTATTAGCATCTGGCACCGTCGCGTCTCATGAAAACCTACAGAGCCGCTAAGTTTACCAGCACATCTTCGCTGACCATTTTCTTGTCTGAGGCGCAGGGTGGGTTTCAGTCGCGTGTGTACTATGTTGGTCTTTTGGGCCAATGGTCGGAGGTAAGCCGAGATTATAACAAGGGAGCTGCAATTGAATCGAATATCTTACATTGACTATAGCGGAAGAAAAATCCGATTATTACCGTTTACGAAGCCCAAGCTAATCCCGCGGATCATAAGAAGATACGAGGCATGACGGATATGTCAAGTACCCCGCAGATGTAAACAACCATGCACGAGCGGACCCTAGGGATGTCACCTTAGTTTTGCGGAGGTCTCATCCCCTGCATCCCAGAAGCATCATGTCGCTGCATGAACGACTGCATCATCTCAGGATTGACAGCTCCAATGCCCCCTGTGGCTCCGTTACTGACCATACCCTGTCGATTGGCGTGAGCATATGTCGAGAGAGGGACACGGAAGTAAAAATGTATACTTACCATGGAATGATTCTGTTGATTAATGGCACTTGCAATGACCTTGGACAGCTCTTGTAGAAGCTGCGGCGGAGTAAGTTGTTGGGTTTGAAGCTGATGCTGCCGGATCCGTTCCATCTGAGCGAGGACTTGAGGCCTGCGTGCCGGGTCTACTTGCTGGAGACGTTGCATGAGATCGGCCATCTGATTCTTCGGGTTCTCTGGCCGAGGAGGCTGAGAGAATCCAGTCAAAGGGAAGGCGGCTCCTATCAAACCGTTTCCCGGAACAGCGAACAGAAGGAGGTTCGGTGTCTCTGAACCAGATGGTAACATCCAGCTGGCTGTGGCATACTGAGAAATAACCCACATTGAGGATCAGATTGTTGGAGTAGAGTAGGATAACGCACCACACGTCTCTCACTCAGAATCTTTATCAGATTTTGAAACGATGGCTCGTTGATCTTTGGGTCTGAGCCAGGTGGTGTTACTGGTTTGAGTTGTACCAGAACACCGCTGGTCCGTCTGGCCCAAGTTTGAAACTCGGTGTTTCCAACGATTTGTTGTTGGGAGACGTGAAGGTTGAGATGCTTTGGCCAAGTCTCGAGTTTCCTGTAAGGACGCGCTTCGGTGAACAGCAATCTCAAAGCCAAAAGGCATCGACGTACATGTCCCCCATTCCTGCTATGGCAGCTGTAAATCGGGATGAAGCAGGCATTGGGGAATTCGATATCATTGCTGTCCAGTTGACAATACCTTGCCACCATTGAGGGACTTTGTTCGCTGCTTGCAGAGGAGCCTGGCCGGTCTGAGTTACCGAAGGAGGCGGGGCAGGCGGAGCGGATGGGGCAGCAGATGTTGAGGAGGAAGGGCCAGTCAAACTCTGTGGACGTATTCCTTGGTTATTGATGAGCTTCTTCATTTGTTCGGCAACATCTGGTGGCATTTGAGCAACATTCGAAGGGCCCGCCTGCCCATTGCCACCTGTGCGATTGTGCATGAAGGACAGTAGGGCCTGAGAACTTTGGGACGGTGGCTGAGTATTCTTTCCCTGAGCTTGAGCATCTTGTGGTAAAATGGAGGTCTCATTGGGGGGAGGGACTCCAGCTGGTACAGACGTTGAGGCACCATCTGAAAGCGCTTGCTGTTTTGCCGCCTGTCCAGCGGACTGACGAGCCTTTTGTATTGCTTCCCACTGATTTGCGATGACAGTTTTGAGTTTGTGTGCGAGCTGAAGCTTTAATGCCTGGTCTTTCCTCAGACTTTCCAGGACTTGAGTTTGACCTGCGCTCTGAGCATTTGCGATTTGCGTCTTGATACTTTCCGTCTCTTGTTCGAGCAACTTCAGTCGCTGTACAAGGGTCGCAAACCCGGCAGTGGATGATGTGGCAGCAGGTGGTTTGGGGCGGGCTAGGTCTTGGGGGCCAGACGGCTGAGCCTGGGAGTTAGGCTGGATCTGAGGATTAGGCTGGATCTGGGGAGTAGGTTGAATCTGAGGGTTAGGCTGCGTCTGGGACATAGGCTGCGTCTGGGAGTTAGGCTGAACTTGGGGGTTAGGTTGAATCTGAGGACTAGGTTGAGTCTGGGGATTGGGCTGAGCAGGCGCCTGCTTGGGGGTCGATACAGGAGCAACGGCTGGCGAAGCGGGGGAGGGCTTTGAAGGAGACTCGGAAGAAATGCGAGACGTTCGCTGCCGCTTGGACTCGGGACCTGAGTCTACTGGCTTGACTTCGCTGGGTCGTTTCACGTCTAGGGCTAGATGAGATGTGGCTATGGATTGTTTCGGGGACTTACGGCTTTTGATTGGAATGGGGAAGCCGGAAAGGTGAAGTGTATGCGACTTCCTGACGTTGAACCAGGGTTGCTGAGCATCCCCTCCCGATATCTTCGTACAAGCATCAACGCGTTACATTCAACGTTCAATCGCTGGTGACTTACTGCTGCTTGCAGCTCCTGAAACTGAGGAATTTGCTTTAGGCTTATCAAGTTAAACTTTATGTTCCTCTAGACAGGAGCATGAGCACACGAGTCTACCAAAGACTGACATTCTTACACTCTTTATCTCTGAGGCTAGAGAGTCCCACGTAACGGCATCGAGGTGGGGCAGAGTGTTCCATCTTGGATTTTGGCTGTCATCAGCTGGGGAAGCAGCGACGTGCACCAAATAGGATGTCAGAGACTTGGCTGCTGCTGGAGGGTTTGCTGCAGTCTTGGTGTAGGATTTGAGCATATCAAACAGCTGGACAGAGATATGTCAAAAGTTAGCAGGAAGAGAGCATGCGGACTCACTTCAATGGCAGCCACCATTCCTTCCAGTGCGCAAAGGCCTGCGCTACCTCCATTTGTTGTCTGTCCTATGCCGACTGCCTCTGGGTCTTCTTGAAGGACCTTGGTGAGTACATGGGGCGGGGTAAAGAAGTGTTTGGCCAAGAGTGGAGAGGGAAAGGCGTCTGAAGGACCATAAGTGACTAAACCTAGCCGAAACTCGAGAAAGGCTTGAGATCAGGATGGAGGGCAATGGGAATAGCTTACCTGGTAGTTAGTGTGTGTTTCCTGTAGACGCTTGAGCATGGGGGTTAAGTACTCTGTGTTAATGTGGGACCATTCCGAGCCGAGGACGACAGAGGATTCGATAACATAGAGAATGGCGATGAGATCCGCTGGGCTATCACCCATAGTAGCTGGCTGAAGTTGGAAACGGGTGTGAATTACAGTATATATGCTGATTATGAGGAGGAACAAGACGAGGAGCAATTGCTTGTTGGTAGCTGGTAAGGGGTACCGGTAACGCGTAACAAGCGCCGGGCCTGTACTCCCGAATCAGTGCAACCTGCCGCACCTTGAGGTACATATCCTGACGCAATTCATCTCATCTCATGTATGTCAATGTCAATGCGGACAGCTGATTTTGCGTCATTGACAAACCTGACGGATTGATCGATGCCATCTTACACACTCTCAAGTGGTCGTGCACCACCTGCATCTCATTTTCATACCGATCCACCAAGGTCTGAGAGTGATACTCAATATTACTGTGGATAATCCTACTTGAACTAAAAGCGCGAACAAAACCAGCTAACGAAACAAGTCGTAAGAATAAGTAGCGGACTCGTCAAAGGGAATAAAGTAACGATGATATCATGCTGAGTGTATACAAGTCTGTCCGTCAAACTTTCAAGGAAAGACCATGGCGTCTCGTGAAGAGTCCGTCGAGTAAGCATGTCAGTCAAACATGTTAGAGAAAGATCCAAATTCCGCCAGCCACACTGGCGATGATGCTCAAACCAGCTCCATACCATCCCCGAGATGGATTCCAAGCGGGAGCTGCGCCTCCAGAGGCAGCAATGGTGTTGGTGCCTACCAGGGCGAGCCAAGAGCTATACTGGAGAATGACGCCGGTGGTCGTTGGGTTTGGAAGAGCGGTGGCGGGGGCGGTGGGTTCAAAGGTGCCTACGCGCTGAACGTAGTTGCCGTTTGCATCGGTAGTGGTGTAGGTGAACGGGGTGGGGTCGCCCGCGTCGCCACCCTGGCCAGGTGTCTCGACTTGACCGGGATTAGGTGCGGCAGTGGTGGTAGCCGTGGCGGCCGTAGTGGCCGTTCTTACTGTGGTTGTTCCAGTAGCTGTTGCTGACCTTGCGGTGGTGGATGCAGGAATAGTGGAACTGGTAGAATCATAAGAGCGATTTAAAAATGAAGCAGATGGTGTGGGCATACAGTATCAGTGTGGTGGGGTCACCGAGGGCATCTTCGGTGACGGATTCGACTATGATATCGCCGTACCTTGGAGTAAATCAGATGGAGAAGAAGAGAGATACGAAGATAATGGCATACGCGTCGGTGGCGGTTACCCTCTGGCCATAGGCGACAGACGAGGAGAGAGCGAGGACGAGGAGGTAGACACACTTCATCGGATGAGACGGGCAGCGGTGCGGTGGCGAGCTGAGCGTCGAGGGTGACTGGTGGAGGAACGAGCGCCTACTCGAGCATGGAGTCTCGTCACCGCAGCCGCTAATAATAATAATATTAACAAGGCACCGATAGCAATGCCGCGGTTATGCCTATTTGTGGCAATCAGAATAGCCGAAAGGTTGCTATTTATGCAATTTACCATCGATATTTGCTAATCTTGTATTCCTCATTTTTTTTTCGTCTTGCCTGGGATGGGAGTGATAGATCGATTGCAGACCGCGTTGACGAGTCCATCTCTTCCTCCCGGCTGCAGGTTCTTTTCCGCCTCCGCCCCAGCGAGAATAAAAAAGAGGATGCCCCCCAAAAAGGCCCCCGCCCAGGAGAAAAAGCAGCTGCTCGGCCGTCCCAGCAACAACCTCAAGATCGGCATCGTAGGTTCGTCTCTTTCCATTCAGCCTCCGCCCCCAAAATTCATCTTTCTTCAGGTCTCCCTAATGTTGGAAAGTCTTCTTTCTTCAACGTTCTCTCCAACACCGGTTCGTACACTCCTCCACCCACCTCCCTTCATCCTCTAACCTTTTGTTTTCTCTATCAGATCTCGGCAAGGCCGCCAACTTCCCTTATGCCACCATTAACCCGGAAGAGGCCCGTATTCCCGTCCCCGATACCCGTTTTGACTGGCTTTGCGAAACCTACAAACCCGCTTCACGCATCCCTGCATTCCTCACTTGCATCGATATTGCCGGCTTGACTGCCGTAAGTAAAAAAAAAATACGAAAATTTCTTCAGCCCTCATGCAAAACCAATAGGGTGCTTCCACTGGTGCAGGTCTAGGAAACGCGTTTTTGTCTCATGTCCGTGCCGTCGACGGCATTTTCCAAGTCGTTCGCGCCTTCGACGATGCCGAAATCATTCACGTCGAGGGCGAAGTCAACCCTCTTCGTGACATGGAGATCATTCAGACTGAGCTCCGCCTCAAAGATATTGAGTGGGTGCAAAAACACCTCGAGGGAATGAAGAGAGGTGGCCGTGCTCTCGGAAACAACAGTCTTGCAGACAGGCAGAAGAAGGAGGAGATCGTACGTCCTCCGCTCTTCAGCGTGCCCTTTCCATTCAACTATATCAGGCAACAGTAGAGAGGGTTCTTACCACCCTTACCGAGGACAAGAAGGACGTCCGGAAGGCTGACTGGTCTAACAAAGAGGTGCGCGTCTGCGTTTCCTTTTGTTGCCACACTTTTGGGATGAAAAAGAGCATCTGCTCGAATAACCCAGCTCGTCGAGGGCGGAGTAACGCCCGTCCCTTTGAAATAAATTACTTCATGCTGATTTTACCTTGAACCTATGATGCATTGGGAATTGACTACTTACCCTCTGTTTGTACAGGTGATTAACGTTCCATCCGTTGCTTCTTGCAAGATGAAAAAGAGCATCTGCTCGATAACCCAGCTCTTCGAGAAGGGAGTAACGCCCCAACACTCTATGAGAACAAATCCTTTTCTGAACATGCTTATTCCCTTTTTACCATGATGCGACTGACACTACTCTGATAGGTGAACAATTTTGCCAACATCGTATCATGACTGCGTGCTTAAACGGAATGGCAGATCGAAGTTGTCAACGGGCTTTCACTGTTGACGGCGAAGCCTGTGACCTACCTCGTTAACCTTAGCGAGCGGGACTTTGTACGGAAAAAGAATAAATGGTTTGTTTTGTCTCTTTTTTTGTGGACCACCCTAATTGTCAGCCAGGCTACCGAAGATCAAAGCGTGGATTGACACAAACAACCCTGGCGATCCCCTTATTCCTTTCTCCGTTGCAATGGAGGAACGGCTGGTGGGGCTCTCCGATGAGGAGAAGGAGGAAGCCCAGAAAGAAGCTGGCGCTCAAAGCTCGCTTGGCAAGATCATGCAGGCAGGCTATTCAAGCCTTGAGGTTGGTGCTTTTGCGAGAGTGTTATGTTGGACGGTGTTGATCGTCCTTTCAGCTTATCCGTTACTTCACCTGTGGGCCAGATGAAGTTCGGGCTTGGACAATCCGGAAAGGGACGAAGGCTCCTCAAGCTGCTGGTGTGATCCAGTGAGTGGCTTGCGGAGTCCGCTGTACTGCTCGATGAGCTGACGTCTGATCAAAGTTCGGACTTTGAGAGCAAGTTCGTCTGTGGTGAAATCATGAGCTACGATGACTTGAAGGAGCACGGAAGCGAATCGACGGTGAAGGCGGCCGGGAAGCTGAGGCAGCAAGGCAAGCCCTACGAGAGTAAGTCACACCTCCCAACCTATTTCAATAGTCCGCTGACCTGTTTTAGTGGTCGATGGTGACATTGCCTATTGGAAATCAGGAGCATGAGCCTCTGATGAGAGCTTACTATGGGGTCGTAGATTATTAAACAAATAATGCCCATGTAACTAGTAGATCCCATTCAATGCACGCGGATTCGACATTGAGTGTAGCCACTGCGTCGTGATATTTGCACCTTTTTAGAGACCTTGAGTTGAAACTTGAGTGCGACTGCATGGCAGGGATGCGCCAGTTGAAATTTCATATTATGCCGCGATCACGTGGAGGAAGCCAGGGGTTGCCTCGTTCCGACTCCGAGTTATTGGCTGAAGTCATTGCAAGTCGGCGCCGGTCGACCCAACTGACTCGCCCATTTCTTTCTTTCTTTCCTCATTCCACGACAAGTTACGACCAACAAAATGGACACTGAACCAGAATCGCCCACTGTTGTCTCTCTAAGCTCTGTCTCCCCGCCTCAGGTCACATTCACCTCCACCGATGCCACCGAGCGGGATGCCGACGTGAGTCCTGCTACAGTTGAAGCCTGCCACCTGCCCACCTAACCTCTGCCTATAGTTCCTTGCGCTTCGTCTCCTGAATAAACGCGCTCGAATAAGACTCTCATCAGGCCCAGTCAACCTCGATGAAGCACCTGGTAAAGCAGCCTTGTTTTCCGTGGGCAACTCCATGGGATGGTTTGCTGCCGCAGTCTGGACTGACGAGGGCACATGTGCGTCCCTACATTCTTCGAGAACGAACTTTGACCTGATCAGAATCTAGCGCTCATCCTTTCTCCTCTCGCTGACCTCCGTGACGCCCTTTCGTCCGCACCCAGTGGGGAGGAACACCCACTCTTTACCCCACGACGTCGACTGTCGCTCGAGGGAAAGACGCCTGTCTTCGTATCTTTTGCATGCAAGGACACTCGAGTTCTTGTTGCCCTCGCTGATGGTTCAATAGCCCTGTTTGACGTTGACGCGCTTCGTACCACCGGAGATCAATCTTCCGGCCCTATTCACGTCTTCTCTCACTCAAGCAACGCCAAGATCCTGTCACTCGTACCGAACCCAGAAGACTTGCCAAATCTCGTTGCTGTATTGAGAGGAAATGCAGATTCCCCACAAGCCGTAGAAATTCTCGATGTGCGCCAGTCTAGACTGGTAACAGTCCTTCAGTCAGGGCAATCTCCAGAAACTAGCCCTTCTGCTCGTGAGTCATCTGTCTCTTTCATGTCCTATTCACTAACGACAACTGCGGATGCAGTGTCGTGGTCGCCCAAGGGAAAGCTTCTGGCTGTGGGTCTTCAAAGCGGTGATATAGTCACCTATAATCCCGAGGCGAGCCCGGTACTCAGGAACGTCTTTCCAAAACCCGAAGCCACTGGTTCCCTGAGCGCAATCTTTATCTCTTGGTTGACTAATTCTTCATTCCTCGTCATCTACGCTGCACGCGGAGCATTGGCACCCGACGCAGATCAACACCACTACATAGTCACTTTGGATTCGAAAACAAATGCGGCGACCAATGTTAAGCTGGCAAGTCCGTACCTCCCCTTCCCCGGTTTACGGCCGCCTGGCCCCTTCCCTGTTACCTTCAAGAACTGGGAGCCAGCGCAGTTCCTCATTTTCTTGGGTGACAGCACCTCATCTGACATAGGCGCCATAGCTCGGATCAACGCCGAGTCTGATGAGAGTTGGCACAACTTATCCCTAGAGGAAACCTCAACACCTAGTTTACCTTTGGACCAAGAGATGAATGATACTATACTCATTGGTCTCGATGTGGATCTGACCGGTACATCCCCGTACAACTACACAACAGCATCCGGAGAACCAGTCGAGTTGCCCGCTTCCCCCGTCATGTTTGCTTACGCATCCGACGGTTCATTGCTTGGTTGGCATGTCCTTAATGTTGGGGGCAAGGTGTATCCTGGCATGGTATCCAGCGAAGCAAAAACCGCTCTTGATGCCACCGACATGCAGATGGATATGCAAGGGATGTCTATGCAACCTCTCGAACAGATGGATAATCAAGCGACTCCTCCATCGCCTCCTCCCGAAGCCATCCCGGTGAAGCCCTCTGCAATTCCTCGGCCTGTGCAAGCGCCCACCTCTGGATTTGGTTTTGGACAGACTTTGAGTAAAGATTCACCCTTCGCAAACCCACCCCAGACACCTCCCACGTCGGCATTCGCACTATCTTCTGCCCCCACACAAGCCGCGGGAAGCGCAACGTCATCGGGCTTCGGTAAATCAAGTTTTGGTACACCGTCTTTTGGTGCTTCACCTTTTGGTACCTCTGCATTTGGCAAACCTTCTGCGTCTTCCTCTCCTTTCGGCAGTCAACCTGCTTCGTCAACGCCCCCGGCGTCGAGTTCGTCATTTGGAGGGTTCGCTTCATTTGCGGGCAAAGGTGCTTTCGGATCTTCCACACCAGCCTCCACAGGGTCGTTCACTGATATGTTGCGTTCAAAAGAGGGAGAGAGCAATGCTGATACTAGCAACGTCACAGCAGATGAGGAGAAATCAGATATGGACAGCGATATGCAAGCGACCGTACAACCGTCTCAGCAGCCAACGACGGCCTCCACACCAAGCTCGGCCCCTAGTCTGGCGTCGAAACCGGATGAAAGCGCCACACCCACACTGTCTCTTGGGCCTGGCATCGGGTTCGGGAAAGCACTCAACAAAGATTCGCCTTTCTCTAATCCTTCAAAGCCAATCAGCACTTCCGCGTTTGCACTCTCGGGAGACACCCCCTCGTCTTCTGCTACTGCTTCGAGCTCGGGAGACACTATCAAACCGAGTGCAACCACGTCAGCATTTGGTGCCTCCTCTTTCGGCACGTCTTCTTTTGGGGCATCGTCGTTCGGTAAGCCATCCCAAGGTTCGGTCTTTGGTGGTCAATCTGCTTCAACGACACATAAGCCTTCTGTTTCTTCTGGGGGCTTCTCGGCCTTCTCTGCTTCTGGCGGATCACCCTTTGGTGCGCCCGCATTCGGTGCATCAAGTTTTGGCAAAACACAGGGCTCACCCTTCGCTTCACAAGCCGTTCCAGCAGCGCCCAAACCTTCCGAGCCTCCATCCGGTGGATTCGCTGCTTTCTCAGGTGGCAGTACGTTCTCGGCTACCCCGGCTTCTACTGGCAAATCCTTCAGTGATCTTTTACGGTCCGATGACGCTAGCACGCCCAGAGATACTAAGGCCGAGACCAAGGCTACGGTCGAAACCAGCAAGGATGCCAAGTCATCTTTTGCATTTGGTTCTAGTTCTTCGAACAAGTCAGTATTTGGTTCGCAAGCGACATTTCCTTCCGCTTTTTCGCGCCCTTCAGGCAGTGCATCATCGGCGTTTTCTGGTTCAGAGGCACCAGTTTCTACAACGAAAGCTACGGGTGAGTTGCATAGTGCATACTGATTTTGGTTTCTATTGAATGTCCTTGCGTAGCTCCGAAAGAGGGGTCACAGCCCCCTGACTCAGGTGACGAACAAGGGAGCATCGAAGACGGAGAGTTGGACTCTGAAGATGAAGATTCCGAGGACGGCGAGGCGAGCGAAGACGATGAAGCGGAGTATGACGAAGATGAAGACGGGCTGCTTTCTCCCGAGTTAGAGTCCCAGATTGAGCAATCTTCCGCCAAAGCTACCCCTGCTCTAGCATCCGGGTTCGGTTTCGGGGGAAGTATCTCGACAAACTCACCGTTCTTGAATCCGACGAAAACGACTCCTACCTCCGCCTTTGCAAATGCACCCACTACGAAGGTTAACGAAGCGCCCTCGCAGCCCGCCTTTGGATCCTCGTCGTTTGGCCAACCGTCTTTGGGGAGTGGGCTATCAAAATCATCGCTTGGAGCTTCGTCACTGTCGACACCATCAGGCCCAACTGCTCCACCAACAGGTGGATTCGCCGCATTTTCTGGAGCAAACACACTCACAGCAGCTTCGAAGCCTGAGACGAAGTCTTTCAGAGACCTTCTTCGTACAAAAGGCTCGGACCAGAAGGATACGGAGAAGGGCAAATCTCCAGAAACATCGTCGCTGCAACCCGCTGGCGGAGACTTCACAGCTGGTACCAGTGCAGATTCCAAGAGTATCGCGAACGATCAGAAACCTCCTGCGAAACCCGTTCAACCTCCTTCAAGCTTACCTGCTACTCCATCATCACTGACGGATTCCTTCGGAGGACTTTTCAGCGGCAAACCATCAACGGAAGGTAGCGAACGTAAAGCTACGTCTGCTCCAACTCACCCTTCCCCAGCATTAACCCCAGCTCCTCGCTCCTTTACCGCCTCACCTGCGACGCCTAGTCCTTTGTCAAAGCAGCTCGACGTGGGTGCTTCTACTCAGGATACAGGTCCTGTCGCTTCGGGTACCACGGCACAGCCGTTTTCCGCATTTACTCCTCTCGCCAAACGCACTTCGGCATCTCCTGCTCCCGCAGCTTCGAGTCCTCTGTCCAACCCCTCCAATATGCATCTTCCGAATGGTGACAATAACATAGGCACGGTTTCTTCATCCAAGGCGACGGGCTCATCAAATCTATTTGGAAAGCCAGCCACTCTACCTTCGCAAGAAGGGAGCGCATGGTCCAAGCCATTTTCCGGCGCATTGCCTGCGACCCCGTCACAAACACCGTTGTTGCAATCATCCAAACCCGAGCATTCTATGTCAACCCCAGAAGCGCAGGTAGAAACAGGAATGCAAGCTGAGTGTACCTTACTATTTGTTACGCTCGGGAAGGACCTGGAGTCGGTCAGTTCGTTATTTTCGTCTGTCTCACATATTCTGACTACTCTTAGTTACGGGAGCTGGCAGGACGGGCTTCTCGAGAGACCCAAGAGCTTTCAAAGCACTCTCCTCATTTGAGCACCCTCCAGGACCTCACTGGGCCCCAAAAATTGCTCGTCGGAGACGCATTGAAATGTGGACAGCTTCTCAATGGGATTCAGGCCGACGTCAGACAGTTGGAAGAACAGCTTACAAGCATGCGCCGATCACTGCGCGGGCTCGAAAGCAGCATGCTCAAAGGTTTCTATCGCTTTCTTTCCAATGGTGATAACTGCGAACTGACAATTGCGCCACTAGCTGGGACTAGGAAGGAAGAGATCATTCGCTTCAACAAAGCCAAGAGTGATAAAGAGTTTGCCAAGATGCTAAAGGCAAGAACGCTGGGCCCAGAACATCTTGAGACTCAAGCACAGTTGCGCAGAGAGATCCGCGTACGTGTTCACAAGCTCCCGTACTGGTCTATAATGTAATCGCTTCCGCACAGGCGATTCGAGATCGCGTTCAGAAATTAGAAGATCATCTTCGTCTCTCAAAGAAGAGACTCGGCGAGGTCAAGACGGGAAGACCATCGCTCAAGTACGAGTTTCTTGTCTTTTGACGTATGCGATTCTGACGTGTTTGGGGCAACAGGGCGCCGTCGATCGATACGATGAACAGAGCATTCCGTAACATCGACACCGCAATCAACCAGCAAACTGCGAATGTCAATGATCTGAGAGATCGCCTCAATCGTCTTGCTATCACTGATAAAACTCGAGAATCTGGCCTCTCGAAACTGCCATCAAGGGAGGATACAGTTGCAACATCCCGCATAGCCGTAACGACTGCGGCGGCTTTGAATGTTGAGCGCTCTGCCCAGAGGCTCAAACGTGCCTTGCTGAGTGCTCGATCAGAGCCATTGCTCAATACGCAGGCCAGCTCGTCAGAGCCAATGTTCCCTCCGACGCCCGAGAAGACGGTTAAGACAGAGTTTAGCACGCCACCGCCATTCATGCCGATTCCATTTGCTTTCCCTGGCACACAACCGGAGTTCTCTTCACCACCATCGCCTTCATTTAGCAGCAGTGATGGGGCCTCGCCTACACGACATCGAACAGGAAGTGGCGTGAAGTATCACCAAAAGCCAATTCCTATCAAGAAAGGTCCAAGTCCCAGTCAATCGATGTCTGCACCGTCGTTTGATTGGGGACCACTTCCGACTGTGGCGCCGATGAGGATGCTTTCTGCCGATGTACGACACAAAGAATCGTGATTTTTTGATTACAAGCATTACTATTGTATAATTGAGGCCTACTAGAAATGATTTGATTGGTTAAGGACCAGACCACTGAGACCCTGTGGATAATTTTATTCTGAATGAGGATCGTGTGATTCGGGTTCGTCTGCATGACCGTTTACGCCGTCTGTACGCTCGAAGGGATTGTAGATTATCGATTCAAGATGTTGGAGGGCAGCCTTGGGGTAGAAGAAGACTAGTAAGGAGTATAGCGATTGTTGCTGGTGAAATCACTGCGCACCCTCCCTACTTCACTGAGTTCTTCGCCTTCGCCACCAGTGAAAGTCTCAAAGTTGCCGTCACTGGAGATGAAGGCATCATCCTCATCCTCATCGGACATGTTTGGGTCAGGATGAAGTGAAGCACAGAGAGACATGGCTTCGAATATATCTCCTACTGGTAAAGGAACAATGATTAGATGTTAAGTGAGTGCAAAGTGTGCGAGCTTACATGAGTTAGGATCCTGTGGGATGATGTTTAATTCTCTCATGGCAGAAAAACCCTCATCATCATTCGCCGGGGGGTGTTGGTTCTCGTCCGTTTCGTCGAGCTGACAGTAAATAGAAGGGCCAGACTCTGCGCGAGAAATGGCGTGGAGTGTTATTGAAGGGTATTGTATCTCAAAGCCCTTTCCGGTGGATGACACGAATGCCAGAGTCCTACAATGGATAGGATGAGATGATGCAGCCACAAATGAGAGGGTTGTTGATAAGTACCTTTCTGTGACGTACAAAACGCCGTTGGCTGCGTCTTGCGGGGAGAAGCCTTCGAGGGGAGGATCGAGGGTGACGGCGACATCGGGCTGCTGGTGTCTGAGGACGGCGGGAATGTCGCTGAAAGAGTCTGGGGTGGATGCGACCAGCTGCTGGTGCTCCTCTGGGGAGACGAACGTCGGTGGGGCGCTGATGGCTGTGACGGACGGCATATCTAACTTTTGGAGGAGATCTCAGTTTCCAAGATTCATCTGAGCTCAGACGCGTCCTGGCACATCACATGATCTCCACAGCACCTTTGATAAACGCCGGCGTTCTCTGAGTGACAACACCCAACACTGTCCTTGTTGCTAACCTTGTCTTGTCTTTCTTTTGCTTTTGTCCGTCATGAACGCCCCATCTGACCCCCAGACTGCCGCTCTTCTTGCCCATGTCGCCGCGCAGATCCAGCACAATGCTGCCTTTCTCGAGTCCCAGGGATACATATCCCCAGAAGACGCTGCAACCATGAACTCGATCGTTTCCAAGCTTCCAGTCACGGTTTCTATATCCTCTACAACCACTCACGTCCGCGTCTCTTCACCTCCGGTAGCTACCCACCCATCCGGAATCAGTGCCCCTCGCACTGTTCCCCCGCCTCCGCCCGTTGTATCTACTTCGGCCACCTATGTCCGCGCGCTCTGGGCTTACAACGAGGATGGTGCTGTACGTACATACCACCGTGATTAGTCAACAGGTGATCCACATGGCTGATGTATCATTAGGAGTCCAATGACTTGTCTTTCTCATCCGGAGAGCTTATCGAGCTCGTCTCTCAGAAGAACGCAGACTGGTGGTCAGGGCGAGTTAGAGGAAAGGAGGGTCTCTTCCCATCTAATCATGTCGAGAAAGTGGACTCCACGGCAGCCCCGTCTCCCACATCAACAGCTGTAACAACAGCCAAGAAGCCTTATAAGCCATTCGGAGCGGCTCTGCATGGAGCGGATACACCACCTCCGTCAACGACTGGCATAAACTCGGTCGGGCTCCAGCAGGCTCCGGGCCAGGCGGAAAAGAAGAGCAAGTATGGAAAGTACGGGAATACTGCAAGTCCATACAGATTCTTAGACTGCGGGACCGTGCACTGATATTTGTTATAGATGGCCCATTCCGCTGCCGGTGGTGTTGGGTTTGGAGCAGGTTTGTACTTGATTCTTTGTCAAGCGTGCAGTCGAGTAACACAGCCTTTCACAGGTTCTGCCATTGGCGGCGGTCTCGTCAGAGCCATCTTTTAAGTTGCGAGCTGCCAATGCTAATGTTATCATATTCTACTATTTATCACTGGACATGATCCATGGGGTTCTGTCTGGACTGTATTTACTGTGTATAACTGGAGGACTCGGAGAACATTTAGCTTGTGGATTTGAGGACAATCCTGTGCGAGTCGGAGATGTGACGTAAGCTAGACATGCATGGCACGTGAATCGGTCTCAGGCTAGCGCGGTATCTCGGTCTACCAAGCTGGGCAGTGACGACCGGAGCACAGCGTCATTCCCTCCAACGCCGACGTCTCTGCCCTGCCTCACTCATCGCGCAGTACCTCCACGCCTCTGACGTCTGCTGCGCCTATTCTTGTGCCCCCGCAGTATATATTGGCCCTCACGACCTCACGATCACATTCACGATCTCAACCCCTGCTCTCGTTATCATAACATAACACCATGCCATTCATGGACACCCTCCAAGGTGGCCTCGACCGCATCCTACCCAAACGCAAAGCCTCGGCAATACCGTCTGTCCTATCGGGAGGCGTTGCCAATGGCGGCGTGGTCTCGTACGACGACGATGTAAGTCCATTTGAACCGCAGCCTTTTCTTCCTTTCCTCTAGTTACGTAATACTATGCCTTGTTCTTCTCCCTCTTCCGAGTCCTTGCATGGACCAGAGGACCGGCTACCTCGTCTTTCTCCTCTTCGTTCCTACAATATGGGTGCTCTCCCTATGGGTTCATACTCGTCTGTCCTTCTTCCTTCGCATTGCTGACCCATGTCATGCGTTCATAGATGATCATTTCCAAGCCAGCCATTATCTTCCATATTTCACAGTCATTTTTCAACTTCCTCGCCATGGCTTGCTTCGCTAGCGTAGCTGCTTTTCAGGCGAAATGGCACGTCGGACCATGTGAGTATTCCTTTGTTAGACACTGATAACGACGCTGATTGCCCATATCACTCAGCTGGCCTATCGGGCTTCGCCATCGTTCTGTCGGTTCTCGGGATCATTCTACCCCTCTTCATGATGTTCGTTCCCGTCGTGTACGAGAAATATGATCGATTCGCGCGTCTTGCGCGTGCCCTCAAAGAGCCACGCGTCGGTTTCATCCTTACAGGTGCCGGGTCCACCTTCAGCTTGCTCATAGCGTGCGCACCAACCCATCTACCTCTAACACATACTCAATCCGTCATATAGATTCATAACCACGATATCAGCTTGGACCGAACCTGGATGCAAGGACGCCAATAATGATCCCCACGCAAGCCTCGGCGATGACTTCAAGAATGCCCTTCCGGGTTGGTGTGATACGAAGAAAGCAGGAGCTGTCTTTTTCTGGCTTGCAGTCGGTATGTCCATTCAACACACTGGCTTGGGCACTTGGAGATGCTCATAACTCTGAAAGCGTTCTGGATTGCCTCCGTTGTTCTCCTTGTCATAGATTGGCGCCGAGGTAACCTCCGACCGGCTGCTCGTCCACGTGACCCTCCTTTCACTCAGCCCGACCTCGAGGAGGGCTCAGAGCCAGAGGAAGAGCCTGAGGAGACAGGAGCGTATCAGCCTGTCACTGCGCCAGCTCCTTCATCACGATACGACAACTCGAACACAATGAGCTCGCCGTTTGCTGATTCAAATCGCTACTCCGGTGCTGCAGGCTCTGGTTATGCAACCCCGCCATCTGCCCCGCGACAAAGTATCGATGCATATGGCGCGTTCTCCGATCCCGCCCCATCTGGATTTGGTGGTGTCTCGCATAACTATGCACCGGCTGCTGCCGACTCTGCAGAACCCCCGCAAGTCAGTCGGACGATGCAATATGCTGACCCATATGCGGCAGTCCGTGCGTCCCTAGGAGCACAACAAGGGCCCCCAAGCTATTCGGGATACTAGTGAAGTTACTGTTTGCATATGTGTATTGCTAGTCAGATCTACGTGTCATCAGATAGTCCATACCCTTTTCTTAAGTATCAAATTTGCTGTTGTTCTAATGTGTCCATACCACGACTATGTTGTCTGAATGTTGTCTGATTGCAGTACTGCATGTTTCATGATGATTTGCCTGAGCTGGTGAACTGTCCTTGGTAATTGATCTCTCATTACTGTAATTTGCCGAGCATTCACCTGTGGCTTGTCCCATGTCTCAAGTACCTGGCAAGCGGACTTAAGTGGCACTGTCCCACCTCTCCAGCAACTAACAAACAAAATGGGACATTTGGAAAATAGCACAAAAATTCCTATCACTGTATAAGACAGTGGGTTTGGAGGGGAACTGCTAAGGTGCTGTCGGAGAATCTCTAAGTCCATTGCAATGACGTGCCGTTTTGACACACTTCACCACACATATCACAATGCTTCAAAACACAGCTTCCAGGGATACAACTAGGTAGGGCTGTTACAGTAGATCAAAATAAAGCTTGCAGAGTTGCAATATATCGAGAGTCGCTGCAATACGTCGGAATAACCCCTATCAGAGTTGCATCAAACAGAGCATTGTTGTTGGAATGCGATTGAAAGGCAAGATTCCCTGCAACTTCATCAATAAGGCATACCTGCAGCTTGACTGCTTGTAGTGGTCAAGGCAGGCCTTCTGCTTCACTGTGTATCTAAGCAACATGCCGGCAGACTGAGGCAAGACAGTTGAGTGCCCCATCTGCTTTGAGCAGATCAAGGAGAAGGGGATCAGCTGACACACAAAGGCATGCACCAAGAAGCAGTGCCGTGAGGAGGAGGATAGTGTATACATGCAGTCTTTAAGGGAAAGTAAGCACTAACTTGATTTATGGAGTCAACTTTGTATTATGTTTCAATCTTGCAAGTAGATCTAACTGCTAGTATTATTAGGACAGGCACTGGCAGCTGCAGCTTTAGCATCTTTGGCAGCGGCGGAAGCAGGAGAACATGTAGCTATGAGCTCTAGCATTGTGGGACCATCACAGGCCAATGATTCTTTGCCTGATTTTGCCTCTCGCCCCCCAGCAAATTGTCTGTTTTTACACCCAGGCAAGTGTTTTTCCTCTAGTTACTCTGTTATCATCTAACCCAAAGTGTTTGCCTAATTATAGCTGCAGCTCCTCCACCCCTACCAGAGGAGGATTGGAACTACAACAAAGGTACAAGCTTCTTAAATGATCTTCGGGATTCACAAACTTCGCGTGAGTCTTGCTTTTCTGCACATATATGATTCTTCTCCAAGTCAGAGCTGATTGCACCCTCAAGCATCATCGTTGCCACAAGACCTATATAATAAGGATGACATATGCATCAAGTATCATCCTCACACTGAGATGTCACCTGACATGACACCATTCTCGCAGTTCTCCCGAGACCACTTCCCCAAACCCTGTGCGGACAATAAACGTCTTGCCCCATGGTGCCCTTTCTGCTCTCAGCTGGACTTTGAAGTTGCCGAGCTCACGCTTGAAGTGCTGCTGACCAAGGAGCAGACTTTGCGCCTCATCAAGCTCATTTGTCACGTTGCGGATGAGTGGGAAGATTTCCATCTCAAGGACTATAAAGACTTGCATCAGACTTGGGACACTGTCGGAAAATGAGTCACACTGGTAACCAAAGCTCTTTACTTCTCGTTTGTATATCTACCTGTTGATACAGTACTGATAACCCATGCAAGTGAAGAGATCGCTCAAGTCAATTGCCCGAGGCTCAGGCGATGCGTGAGGGGAGTGCTGGGGAGCATGCTTGGTAGCATAAACATCATACACCAGTTGGAATAAGTCCTCTGCTGCATCATACTCGGACTTTCCTAGTTTGTTAAACCAGTTAAGTCGCATAAATGGGTGACATGCTGCAGATGTGCAGAAGTGTCAAGACACAAGGAGGGAAAGGGGGCCATAGCAGTGATTGTGAATGTGACATCAGCTGAAGCGCATCCTATAACAGAAAGTCTACACACCGACAGCAAGAGTATTATGCTGACACCCTTTTGCAAACTCATAGTATTTTGTCAGCTTTGCTTTGCCAGTGGCTGCAGCTTTGCGGATGTCAAGGCCAAAGTCATTGCTGTGGATGTACATTTCCAGATGCTCCTGCATTGTTACGTAGCTTGGCAGTACCCATGGAAGTGTGGGGTCCTGCCCAGTACAAATCAAGCGTGTTGTAGTTGTAAATGGCTAGTGACACCAGCATAAGGCTAACTATGAATGAAACAGAACAGCTGAAGTGCACCTGAAGCAACACATGAAGTGTTGTGATCTGCTTCCAGTCATCGGGAGAGATCGAAAACTCCGTGGAGAGCTCGTCACATTTGCTGACCCACATGTTGATTGCCTGAGTTTGAGTGAATGTGAGCCTATGTCTTCAAGCCAAAACAAAATGTACTTACCCTGTGAAGTGCCAGAGCATGTTCCATCATTGCATGTGTTGAGTTCCAACAAGTACGAACATCCTGAACAGGCATGAGCCACCAGACGGGGTATCCATTTGCAAGTGTTATGTGGGGGGTATATATCCATGCAGTAATCTCACGAAACGCTTGTCAGCAAGCCGGGGAGCTGACAATCTTAACGACTATGACACAAAGCTAATAGATTCGGAAAGGTCAGACACAAGATAGTCTATGCCTTGTTGAGAGTGAATACTCACCTTTGCGAGAGCTGACTGATGAGACTTCATCCCTGCCAAGCTTACCAGAGTATCCACCTCATCAATGCCTGCATCTCCATCCTCAAACATGCCAGACTTGCTGTAATCATCTGATTCCATGGCTGCCAGGTCCTTGTTGTCAACATCTGTGTTGTAGTTAACAGGGAGATGCTTGTTGAGCATTTTAGTTTCGCGCGGATGAGTGTGAATGCGCTGATGTTCTTTAGCTTCATTTTCGGACTACATTTATACTAGTCTAATGTTTGTATAGACTGCTAGGAGCTTTCTCCTTTGTGTTTCACTAATATATTATTATGAACTCATGCATAGCGGCTCGGATTGCCATCGAATCTTTCTCAGGGGCCTCCATTGACTATTCAGGAGGTTTCTTAGTAATCGCTCCACAGAGGAGCTTATTCTGCAGTTCCAACGCGGTTCTAGGCCATGCCAATATACCCGACGTCTCGGACGCGTTGTCAATGACATGAGGATGATTTCTCATTCCCAACACTCCCCCTCAATCCGAGCCCATTCTGAACCCTTCTACGTGCTTGTTATGCCTTGGTTTCGGGAGAGGTTTGGTGAGTATGTCTGCCATCATTTTATTGGTCGGACAGTACTTCGTTTTTATATCACCATTTTTGACTCTTTCTCTTATATAATGATGCCTTATTTGAAAATGCTTTGTTCGTTCATGGAACTCGGGGTTTTCGGATAACAACAGGGCTGATTTATTATCTCCATATATCGTCGCCGCCTTCTTTTGTTTGTAGTCCATTTCATTTAGCAAGTTTCTTATCCACATAGCCTCTCGGGCTGTGAATGACATCGTAATATATTCAGCCTCTGTCATAGATAACGAAACAGTGACTTGCTTCTTTGATCTCCATGTGACAGCTGCCCCAGTCAACATGAATACATAGCCAGATACGGATATTCTATCTGATTGGTTTGCAAAATCCGAATTGGAGAACACGTCCGGTCTGATCATATATGTTCGGCATCAAATCCGATCTCATCGGTATACCCTTTTAGGCTCAATTTCGCTTTTCTGCGGTAGATTATTCCAAGATCTTTTGTGCCTGATAAATATCTTATTACACGTTTGGCAGCCGTCCAGTGTGTTAAATCGGGATCTGCCGTGAAGGCACCAAGTCTATTTACGGCAAAGGCTATGTCTGGCCTTGTTGCACACGCGGCATACATTAAGGAACCGATCAAGGAAGCATAATTATTGCTTCAGTTCGCTTCTCCCGGCGGATCTTTCGGGGATAAATTTGTTTTGACGTCCATTGGCGTTGCCACTTTGTCCGCGTTTTTGAGTCCCCACTTTTGTAGAACAGACTCTATGTATTTCGTTTGTGTTATTTTTAGTGTGCCCTTTGATCGGTCACGTGTAATTTCTATTCCCACAATTTTGCTTGGTTCACCGAGATCAGTGAGCTCAAATAGAGTTTTTAATTCTTCTTTTAGCTCATTCATGCGATCTTTAGTTTTAGCAAATAATAATAGGTCATCAACCCGAACCGTAATAATTTCACACGAGTTTGGTGTTTTCCGAATGTATACACAGGAATCCGACGTTAGGCGTGTAAACCCTTTTTCGGTTAATTTCTGGTTTAATTCTATGTTCCATTCTCTTCCAGATTGTTTTAATCCATATAGAGTTCTTATTAATTTACAGACACGTTTTGTGCCGTCCTCGAAGCCATGTGGCTGTTTCATGTAGACGTCTTCTTTTAGCTTCCCATATAGGTAAGCGCCTTTTACATCCATTTGTTGGATTTCCCAGTCTTCTGCTACTGCTACAGCTAATATTATTCTTAGCGTTTCTAATCTTACCACCGGCGAGAATGTACTAGTATAGTCTAGACCGGGGATCTGGGAGAACCCTTTAGCCACTAATCTGGCTTTGTATTTTTGGAGTTCCCCTTCTTTGCCATATTTTCGTACAAAGACCCATTTATTCCCGATCGCTTTTCGATCAGTGGGGCATGGCTTCTTTTCCCACGTGCCATATTCCACGTGTTGGCCGAGTTCGGCTTTGATCGTGTTTTCCCAATGTGGCCATTCTGGGCTACTTTTGGCTTCTTCCAATGTTTTTGGATCGTCACTTGCCATATTTGCTTCGTTAAATGCCAAATATATATATTCTTCTATAAGCAGTTGCCCATCATCCGGTTCTTCTTCGGTGAATTCAACAAGCTCAGGGATGGGTTCTCCCTCGTGCATTTTATTATAGTCATGTGTTATTTTTGGGTGTTTGCTTCGCCTGGGTTCCTGGATTTCTATATCGGGATCCAAGGTTCGCTTTTTTGAGTGTGAAGGTGTGTTTATTGGTTCTGTGGGAGTATAGTCCCCCTCGCGCCGAGCATCCGCAGAAGCATTTTCCAAAGAGGGAAATTTGAAATTCCTGGAAATTCTAATGGCTCTCGAGTGCGCTTCGTAGAATCTTATGGCCTTCGGCCCTTCATGGAAACCCATAAATAGCTGCTTCTTAGCACGTGGCTGTAGCTTTGACAGCCCTGGGGACTCATCCAGAACATGGACTGGAGTCCCGAATTCGGCAAAATGTGATATATTTGGTTTGTCTCCAGACTATCTTTCGGTCGGAGTAATTCCGGGCAGAGCGTGGGAAAATGATCTATTTCAGATGTATGCCGCGTGAATAGCAGCCTGCGACCATAAGAATTGTGGGAGACTTTGTCCCATGATCATGGCACGCATCATATCTGTGATCGTGCGATTGAATCTCTTGGCAACACCGTTTTGGGCATGCGCGTATGGAGCCGTTATTTCGAGTAGGATCCCACAGTCCGCACACCATTTTTGTAATGGATTGTTAATATATTCTCAACCATTATCTGATCGTATGCGTTTAACTTTGAAATCCCACTGTCTTTCTATGTTTAGAATATGGGTTTTAAGTATTTGCGGAGCGTCTGATTTATTTTTCAGAGGGAAAACCTCCGCTCTCCTCGTGCAATCGTCAATAATAGACATAAGGTATTTGTGACCATGTATGGAAGCCACACGTGCCGGACCCCACAGATCGGTAAAGATCTGATCACCGGGGGTAGTAGATCTATTTTTGGCTTGTTTCGGAAAAGATGTGTGAGTCATTTTTGCTTCCATACACGTGTCACAATCGAAGTGTTCTGGGCTCGGGGATATCTTTAGTCCCTCAACCAAACCTTTGTTTGATAGTATTTTTAGCGCGGGAACACTAATGTGGCCAAAGTGTTTGTGCCACTCAGCCCACGTTCGTGCGCATGGTTCATCGCTTATGTAAGCACATTCTTTTGTTATTGGCTCACAATCAAAATAATAAAGTCGATTGCGAAGTGTGCCCACAGCTAAAGTGTTGCCGGCGGGACTTAGAAGCCAGACTTTCCCATTTCCATATATGGCACGACCTCCGGCTTCATCTAATTTAGAAACCGATATCAGGTTCTTAGAAGCCGACGGCATGTGCAGAACATCATGTAGTATAATTTTAGTTGCGTGGCCATCCATGTGTGATTTCAGGCACACAGTTCCTTTTCCGGGAACTTGTATAACTGGTCCGCTTATTCCGTTCACTTTCATACCTTGTACCGGTTTGTAATTAATGAACGCACGTTTTTCGGCGCATATGTGTGACGTCGTGCCCGAATCGCTCACCCAGCAATAGAAGCAACCAGTGTATTGGGAAGACTCCCCCATGTTTACATCTTCGTCAGAAGTAGGGGTAGATGTAGTATTAACTACTAATTCCTCGGCCATTTTAGTGTCCTCGGACGTTGAGGCTTCGCCTCGCTTCCTCTTTGTGCCTCTATCTCCACCGGAGTCGGCCTTCTCTTTCCCCTTTAGGGAGACCTTTTTACCTTTCCACCAGTCCGGATATCTGATTTTGGCGTAACAGTCCCCCTTATGGGGCTTCTCGCAGTACTCGCATAAATTAACGTTCTTGGCTGTGCAAGAAGCGTACCAATGAGAAGTAGTTTTGCAAGTATGGCAGTACTTGCCTTTTTGGTCACCGCCCCCTGATCTGCCCTTCCTGGCCTTCTTGGCCGGGCGCGGGGAGTCCGAATCGGAATTGTCAGGGTCGACGTTCTTCTTCCGCCGAATCCACTCCTTCCAGACTGCGGCAACTAAGTCCTCGGTGGAGCGGGACATAATGCCGCCGGAAGCGTCTTGGACGCCGATAAAGCCCGAGGCCCAGCCATCCCACGACTCGGGAAGAGACGCGAGAATGATGTTTTGGAAGTTCAGCTCGTCCACATGTTGTTTATTACCGGATGCGGCAGCGAAGCGCGCGCGCAGATCTTTGAGTTTCCCGATATGGGTCTGCATGTTGGTACTATTCTTGGCCTTCATATTGACCATCTTGCGATAGATCGTGATCGCTTGTTGGCCCGACTGGACCTCAAAGTTTGCTTTGAGCCGATCGTAGATCTCGTGTGCCGTGAGAATACGGTCCGGGTTCACCGGGTCTCGATCTCTGACGTAGGGAAGTAGTTCATCAGAAATAAAATTATTAATAATAAATCTGGCAGCACTATCGCGCATCTCCCAAAGGATCTGGTCCTTTTCGGTCTGACAAAGCGTGACCGGCCAATCACCATTGGCTATTTTCAGGCACCCGGTGACCTCAAACATGCTGGTTGCACGCTGTTTCCAGGACCACCAGTTGTTGCCGTTCTCCTTTGTTTTTCGGAGCTTGTCGGTGCCCGACATCGCCGTGACCTTTTGGTACTGGCTCTGCAAGCACGCGACCATGACCTCGTACGGGTCGGATTTCTTTAACGGGACGGCCACTTGGACCTTGCCCGAGTGATCGAGAGGAGGGCGGACCGGCGGCTGTGGAGTGGCGGCGTCGTCGTCCATAGGTTCGGCGATCTGCAGTGTGATCTGTGGAGCCGGGTTCCTGCGCGTGCTCATGGTGGGATGCGCGGGCTGTTTGCCCTTGTCGGTGGTAGCCGGCTTGGCGTTCCTGGCCGTGGGAGCCGCTGCCCTTGATGTTGATGCCGTTGCGATCATGGCCTTCTTCGGGCCGGTTAAGGCCGTAGTCTTCTTTGGCGTGGTTGACGGAGATGGACCACGCTCGTCGTTGTCGCTCGAGTTGGAGTGGGACAGGGTAGAAGACATGAAGAGTGAAGATGCAGCTACAAGCGTGCGGGGCTCATAACCTTTTAGTTTCGCGCGGATGAGTGTGAATGCGCTGATGTTCTTTAGCTTCATTTTCGGACTACATTTATACTAGTCTAATGTTTGTATAGACTGCTAGGAGCTTTCTCCTTTGTGTTTCACTAATATATTATTATGAACTCGTGCATAGCGGCTCGGATTGCCATCGAATCTTTCTCAGGGGCCTCCATTGACTATTCAGGAGGTTTCTTAGTAATCGCTCCACAGAGGAGCTTATTCTGCAGTTCCAACGCGGTTCTAGGCCATGCCAATATACCCGACGTCTCGGACGCGTCGTCAATGACATGAGGATGATTTCTCATTCCCAACAGAGCACATTATAGTAATATTGGGCATCGGGGTTGTCTTCGACAAGATTGAGAGAAGCAAGCATCACCTGCACTATAAGGTTGATGACGTGAGCAAGGCATCTAATCTGTACATTGGTCTTGTGAAAGGGGGTATTGTATTGAAAGGTGAGCAGCTCAGATACAGTTTTTGCAAGGACATCATTGGCAGATGCATTGTCCATTGTTATAGAGATTAAGTGCAGGGGAGTCAGCCAGGGCCAATGTATTAGGCACAAGTTGACTTAAAACATCAAGGTCAGTCAAACGAGCACATTTTGCCTTGTAGCATATAACTCACCACCTTCTGCGCTTTTTTTTTTCTCACCATTTTCCTTCTTTCCGCTCGTTTCTTGTTCTTTTCCTTTGATGTCTTCGCAGATCCTTCACCCAAAGAAGTGCTGGAGCTCTCGGACATCATCAGGGCAGCATAGCAACACTTACAAGCAGCCGGCTGAGAGACCAGGTAAGAAACAATAAGCAGTTATAAGGTCTAGACTTGTGGGCGGGGCGTACATTTTCATTCAGTACAACTATCTCGTCTGCATTGTTCACTACCCCTTCACCACCACCTCCTTCGCCCTCGTCCTCACTTGAGCCACTACTCGGTGGTGTGCATGCAGGAGGATAATATGTTTTATCTCTGGGATCATTGCAGATCAGCAACTCTGTGAGCGCTTGAGCCAAGGTCTTATACATCATCAAAGAACTACACACCTGGGCAGCCAAAGAGCTCTGTGGCAAGGTGACCCTTCTTGTATCCTCAGAGTACATCCTCAGTAGTGAGCACATGTTCTGCTGACTTCTCTTTTGCAGGGGTTTTTGGTTTTGGGTTGGCTACAACAGGGGCGAGCATGCTGGCGTCATCTGATGCCCCACTGACAACAACAGTGAGCACTTTCAACAGTCTAGCTATGAGAAAGAGCGCACCATAAACACTTAAGCTCATTGTTAATCTGATCTAGCTTCACCATGAGTGCTGCATGGACATTTGACTGAACTTCTAGTGCATGCTTGCATAAGTAATCGGCTACGTATTCAATTCCATTTTGTCCTCAGCGCAGTTCAGGAAAGTAGTCATGCTTGTCCAGGATGTGCTGACCAAAAAGGGTATCAAGACGCTTGTTGAGGGTCTCCCAGTGGTTCCCTTCGTGCTCGCCAGTCATGACCACATAGATCTGGTTGGTCTTCTTTGCGAACGCAATTGTATCAGGTAACTTTTTTGAGAGCTGTTGGATGCTTTCGATCACAGCCTGTTGGATGGCATACTCATCATTGGCTTTGCCCATGGTATGATCGAGACTTCAGGTTGTGACTAGGGGGTTCTGATTTTTGGTTTTTTCTGAATCATGCGCTCGACGCACGCTCTGCTCTGTGTCACAAAGGCCGGTTAGGTTACATAAGCATGGAGATGCACTCAGACGTCCTCTGAAGTGAAAGAGCACAGGCAGTTGCATCCACTACCATTGGTATTCTATCTACAACTGTTTAACTGACTACTTTGGTACGCAATAAGTTCTCTATAAAGAGACTGTAAGAGATCCCAGTCATTCTGATCCAGCCGTGCCTGTTCAAGCTCTTCACGCTTGTGCACCCATATAGTTATGGCCTATTTGAGGCATTACATTAGTTCAAGTAAAGAATAAGCTATATAGAAGTTAAGCAATGGCTCTTATGCTTACAGTTTGGCATGCAAGCGCACGGGAGAGCATCTCTGCTGTGGAGAGCCATTGTGTTGGGTTATCCAGCACTGGCAGCAAATAGCTATGGTCGAGTGGATGAATACATTGTGAAAGGTCTTGAAACACAGATGAATGTTCGGTGGAGCACCATATATGATGCAACACAGCCCAAAGCTATGGCATAGGAGAGTTAATGAGCAGTTATTCTTGTACAACATACTACAAACCTTTCTGATAGCAGGACCTGCAGCACTAGCCACACGATGCATATCTCCTGTTGTATCTTGCATCAGCATGAAGGAAAAAGGCTGTTTGGTAATGTCCATGCTTTCAGGCTGACTGAGTAACTTAGGGTGAGTAAAGCACGCACATGAACTTCCTGGCAATCCCGACACAGGTGCACAGCGCACTGCCGCGCTGGAGCAAGCCCTGTAACATCTAAAAATGGTATCCCCTGCCATAAGTATCCCGGTGCACTTACTAGGCAATACAACGTACATACTTTTGGGCTTACAAGTGCAGTCTAGCACATACCAGAGGGTTAGAGCTAAGGATGCACATATATACAGCTGTATACTATATATATACAGTTTGTATACAATATATGCCCCACAGTATGAATATATGGAATTATAATCACTATAAACTGTATATACTATATACGTATACTATAAAGTTGGAGCCTTATACAGTATATACTAGTTCCGGCGCAAAGTCATATCTGTACAGTATGCAAAGGAACCCCAACCACACCAGTTTGACTTCTGGCATTGTCCTCTGTGGGACTGGGCTACAGATCTGTTGAAGGATCCTTGGACAGGTCCTCACCTACATTTTGACGCCCAGCGGCTGTCAAAATTTGACAGCGAGTCATTTGTGTGCTTTATTGATGAGCCGTGGATGGCAGGTGACTTCTGGGAGTTCCAAGTGCATTGATTTTGTCTGTTGGTATTGTACAACACATACTAGTGGACTAATGGATATATCAAGAGTCAAATCCCCAAAGAAGCAAAACCATTTGTGTTCATTCTATACGCCAACAAGGCAAAATTATTGACATTTGGCACTCAAAAAGCATATCCCATAATCACTTGCTGTGCAAATCTGCCAGCCTCAATTTGAAATGGTACAGTTTTTGCAGGTGGTTGACTTTGTTGGTTGGCTGCCCATTGTAAGCTCTCCTGCTCTGTTTCGGTGGGTAGTGGCACTCAAGTATGCTATCTAGGTAAAAGACAATCATAAACAGAAGAAGAAGAAAGCATGGAGCAACTTCAAGAATGCTGTATGGCACGAGTCCTTCAAGAAGTTTCTTGAGGAGGTTGCTATCTATGCAAAAACGGGACAATGGGTGAATCGTTGGGATGGTATTGAGCAGTGGTTTTTCCCAACCATTCTCATCTTGTCTGCGGATTTCAAGTAACAGTGCAATTTTGCATTCATCATACCAAATGAAAGTATTAACTTCTTCACTAGAAGTGTGATGGCATTGACTCGTGGTGTCAATGCCAAGCGGCCGTGCCCAGTGTGTATCATACCAAGGCATCTACTCTATAGCACCAGGAGTGGCCTTGAAGGACTGCACAGCAGACCGCGGCATTGCTGGAACATGCACGCACTCTGCACCATAAGGAATGGGACAAGGTTCTCTTACAGGCCGGCATGAGAAACATTGATGTGAGTTCTCCCTATATCCTTGGTTAATTATGCTCATGCAAACCATCACTCAGGATGTGTTTAGTACTTTGGAACGCACAGATGTTTACAAGGCCCTGTCCTTTGATATAATCCACGCAAATAAGGAGGGGATGTTTGGCTATCACCTCTGGCCAATCGTGCAGAAAGAGGTGCTCACGTTAGGGTGTGATGTGGCAGCAGCAGTTGATGATAAGTGTGCATGCTGGTTTTCAATTGAGTACCTTCTAATCATAACAACTCTAGCTTCAAAACAATGCCTTGTTGGAGGGATTTGAACCACTGTGACCATGTCATTGACATATATTTCAATGACAGCAAGAAGCACGGTGATATCTCAAAGGTATGTTTCCATTGGCATTATGGCACTCTCTTGTGCATCAGTGTCTTGTTTTTCAAAATGTGCTTATGCTGAAATACAATCAACTCCTCTAGGCGCTCACCTTTACTTGCCATAGCATCCTCCAATATCATGTGGAGACTGGCCCAAATGGCTATCTCCTCCTTCGTTTAGTCAGGGCATATGTCAAGTTTGACATGTGGCTGACCTTAGATGTTCACACAGACATCACACTTGCAGCGGGACAGAAATCTCTTGACATATTGGCCGACTTGACCAAGGTAATGTCAATGTTCTTTATATTGCAATTAATGCAAATGGCTATAATTCTGTTAGCTTTATGTCTGGGAAACTGCCACCAAATTGGATAAGGACTGGAACTTCCCCGAGAACCATACATGCAACCACTCCTTTAGAGACATCATAGTAAAAGGTGTCACATGAGGCTTTGATGCAAAACCCAATAAACACATGCATGGCATCTTTCGAGGTATTTATCATGGCACTACAAACTTCAAGAACATTATACCTCAGATTAGTGTTACCACATCATCCATTGTTTTTGTAATAGATTCATTGACGCATGATTAGATTCTCAAAGTTGAGCATGACCTCCTGAGCTGCTAGAACATTTGAGCGCTTCTTGACAAGCTCGACAACATCAATGACACTGAGCTTGAGCCTCACACCTCATCCACGATTATTTCACTGGCCCATTATCGTCTTCTTTCCGTCACAGCAATGTTTCACTTCATATCTGAGCTGGTTCCCACCAGAAGCCAATATTGTTTAAGGATATTGAAACTATGCATGCTAACAACATGGCCTTTGAGAGGTTTTGCATCAAGACTCACAAGTTCCTCAACAGCCTGATCCCTTCTATGGGTCGCTCGCTCCCAGGCAGTCAGCACATTCAATACAGACCACAGGACAAGGTAAGCTTAGTTCCATAGCCAAAGTCTATACAATCACAATATTACTTACACACACATATTTTCTTCAGATTACAGAGTTCTGATATATGAAGATCAACTATGAATCCAAAGTTGACTGGTGTCTACACTTGGACTACCTGCAATGCAATCCGGAATTCTTTGGCGAACCACAGTACAACTGTGTTATCATTAATACAGAACGGCGGAACACCTTCGGCTGTCTCGTCTTTCTCTTTGAGTGCTCAGTGGAAGAGAAAATGTACCAGCTTGCCCTCATTCACCCATATGAAGCATCTATCAGTGCACAATCAGCAAAGGACTGGGACTTGGACTTTGGCAAGTACAATCACAGCCGCGTTGATGTGCTGAGCTATTCTCCGTTGAGTTCTTTTTCCAGGGTGCTGCATTGGTCCTCAACCCGTCTGTGATCACATTCAATGAATATCTTGTGGTTGATACTGTAGACTCTGATATGTTCCTCTGCATGTACCACATGCACGAAGCGATAGGACACCAAAGGTGTGCCCTATTTTACTCCCTTGATTCTAAAATATATTTCTGATCACTATATTTTCACGTCCAGACCTGCTATTCCCACTTTTAATGACTAACATCCAGCAGTATCACTGATGCGCTCCCCAAGTCTGAACACTCCATTACATTGACTTGATTTCCTTACACCTCAATATCACATCTCTTGTACAGTAACACCACTTTAATACACTATCCCCTGTCTCCGCTTAATAATGGCAGTGTCCATGTTTGTCCAACATATCTGCTCCCGCTGACGGGGGTAGCTAACCACCCTGTGCTCAGGTAAATAGCACTTGCCCTTCTACCGGCACTAATACTTCAAGGTAACCACAATCTGCAAGTGATTCCAGGATCACTGTATGGATCCATTCTTGTCATCCTGCTACCCTCACTGGTGCTGCAGATATGATAATCAAACTATACACAAAGTCAGGTTGATGTCATGAGCATGCAATTGGCTCTATTATAGACAATAGGCAGCTGTAAGTATGCAGTACTGTTTCATCTGTGTTCCAATGTCTTCAACCTGATTCAACTCAGATGCATGCATGCCCGGTCAGAGGCAGTGTAGCTTGAGACCTTGTGATGTTACATGTGTTCAGACTGGTGAGCTTATTGATTATAAGCTCACATTTCTCCTCGGAAAAACTTGTGCATGTGCTAGTTATTCTGACAGTTGTTTCCTCCTTTCAACCTGAACCAACAATAATGCAAAGTTAATGCACTTGATTGGCAACTGTACCATGGTTCACCAACCTTGGAAGCTGAGGTATACTTCGAGGTACATGATCTGATATGTTGCTGCTTCATCCGTGCCAGCAAACTCATGTCAATCAACACTGTACTGAAAGTTTCGTACTAGCCTCGTGCTAGATCCAAGAGGGACTCGGTACCAGGGATAAAAGACATGTGTTGAGGTCACACAAGTCCTCATCCTTTCTTTTGCTGGCCTCATATTTCCTAGATCACTGCTTCCGACACTAATTCACTCATGTCATCACTCAGCAACTGTATTACCCCACGCACGAACGACCCTGGTGGAGGTGCTCACTTCTCAACTATATCTACACACAATGGTGGTGTGTGTCACAACAATGTCGAGGCCAACAAAGTGGGTGCCAGGCCTTTTATGTTGCACGGCGGTCCATGTTGATGTTCTGCATATTCTACAGCTGAAGAGGCTTCAGCTACAGCTTGATGTGCTCCAGGCATAGAACCGGAAGCTTGAGGAGAAGAATACAGTACTCGAGAGGAATAAGCCACGTTGCTCTCACAAAACTGGACTTCCTCCGGCTCTTGCTCCATTTGCTCGCAATACTGACATTGTTTCAAAGAAGTTTGGCGCAACCTACTCCATGTTTTGCCCTTCTTTTTTGGTTTTTTCTTGCCCAATGCTGACTGAGCCTCCTGCCCTGTGACTGCTACCAGTCCGATGAGGTTCAGGCTGTGGCTACTGTTTGGGAGTTTGACGATATCCTGATGACGCACCTTCACGAGTACCACCCTACACACACTCTGATTAATGAAGTACATGAACTTTTATCATTTTGTATGTTATTCTTATACTAGCAATGCTTTGCTTCTATGTAGGTTGAGAAGTGCATGGACCATGGGTGCACGCAGAAGGTTGACAAGCTTTGCAAGACCTTCTGAAAGGTCGTTGGACTTCACCAAAACAGCAAGGATTGGTTTGCAGCATTGTTCAGGGGCCGCTCTTACGTTGATCCCTTGTGCAAGCTCCTTGGTGTACTTGTTGGCCCGCCCGAGAAGGTGTATGAAGTGTTCCCTCTTGTTTTTTTTTTCAGGATAATATTGTCAATTTACATCATCCTTTCTCTAACTGGATCGTAATTGCCCGTGTACGTGTTTGTCTCACACCCTGTATCAATTTCCTCCGACTAACTTATTACTGTATTGTAGGCGTGCAAGGTCATTATGTGGGGAAAGAAGTCCATTGACAGGCCTGGGCTCCCAAGTGGTGGTCCCACCCACAACGCACGGCTGTGGGGCTGCACTGTGGTCTCACCAGGCCTGTGGGCTTTTGCCACCACTTGTGTAAGTCGTGACTTTGCCTGTTGACTATGAATTTGCTGACACTATGAACTGTTAGATTATATTCTTACTCTCTCCCAATGTTGAGTTCTCCAAAGGGGGCAAAGGAGATCAATCAGGCATCAAGTATAGCAAGTATTTTGCTGAGTACAAGTGTCTTCTTACGTGCAAGTGGGATTCTCCCCATATTACTTCCCTCCGCTTAAATATCAACACATTCATGTTTGGTTCAGCCACTGCTGAGGTCACCGAGTCATCTAACTCCGTAGTGCAGGAAGATTTTGCCAGACACATCAATGCGGCGATGGCGGCAATGCATATGGATTTGGACAACGAGCCAGTCTCACTTCCTCATGGTGAGTAGGGTTCTATCCCGTCTATAACTTGGGAAACACTGATCAACCTATTCCCTTTGGTGTAGAGTGTTGGAGTACGGAGGTACACCACTTTGGCAACATCTCAGGAGCCTCGGGAGAAGAGAAGATAACAGAGATGGGAGAAGCTAGAGTGACAAAGGGGAAGAGAGAGGTTGGAATGCAGAGTCACCAACATATATATACCAGATGCTTCACTCGGCTTTCCCCCACTCACTTGTACTACTGCAACTGGGGGTAAGCACCTTTCACATCTACTATAGACTCAGAGCATATGCTGACAACATATGAGTAGTCTTATATATTACAGATTATAACATAGAGCTCACCCAGCTGGCTTCTCTCGCAGTGCTTGCATCTGAAGCGGTCATCCCAGCTGCCTCCGAGCATGCTGAGGTGCAGGTTGTAGCTAGGAGCACGACTATTAGCACTGCAGGTGCTGCTGTAGCTGAAACAGTCACCTGCAGGCCTACCACCAGGGCACGCAGGGGGAATGCTGCATCGTGGATAAACTTGGCGTAGTAAATCTTAAACTACGTATGGAAATAGGTCAAATTGATAACATTTTGTGTTGCCCTGACCTTTCAATAGCAGTATAATATGTGCTGATTATAGTGTTTGATACATGGAATCATGGCCTAGCACTAAGGATGTAGTGATGTAAGCAAGTTATTGATGTAGTATGCGTAAGTTTGATTCCACCCAACGCACTTTGATCGCGTTGGTTCATAGTGCATTGCCATCAATAATCATAACTTTTTTGGTATTTGACTCTCGTTACTCTGGGCGGCTACAATAGCAATTGCCACATCATTAACATCTACTTGTGGCGATGCTTGTCATACTCATCACAATAGGCCTTTGTATAACCACAATGCATTCCCACACATGTCAAAATGTCAATTGAAGCACACATTACCTTGCTCATTGCAATCACAATTGCAATGACCATTGTAATGGCATCTTTATTATTGCAACACCAATTATAATGAGCTGTTTGCTTTCAGCATTTCAACAAATTGTAACTGATTTAAATATTTTTTATAATTTCCGACAGCTATTTCTCTTTTTATGGAGCCTGGCACTGCCATTGCAGGGGTGGGTATATAGAGTTCCTATCAGTAATGATACAACTTGCACATCAGGGCTTGTACAAGCCTCAAGTTCACAAGTTTGATGGCTAACAATAATTGCTGATATTAGTTGTGGTCATTGTTGTTTGTGTTTGGCCTTGCCAACACCCAAAAAAAATTCTCCACAGGTGCACCAAATGTGCATACACCAAGCCTATTTGCAGGTTCAACAATGACCTATGCTGCATGCTTCTCAACACATTGGTTCAGGCTTGGACACCATAGTGTAGAGCAGGATATTTGTAAAGCATGTGTTACACACCCAAATGATGTGCAAAGGGACCTATAGAGAGTTGAGGTTTATTGTGCTTTACCATTGTTAAAACTGATTTTTAAGGCTTACTGCCACAGTTGGTATTTTTTGATTTTTGATTTTGCATTGGGAAGGCTGAATGCAAACATCAGTAATGTGTGAAATGAACATATTTTTACACAATATGGGCTGATGTGTGTGAGAAAAGCAAATGTGGAAATAAGCCAGTTCAAACACCTGACCTTGCAAACCTTCAACTATTACAACTCATCACCTTACCCATTGCACCACTGTGCTGTAGTTGATGTTATTATTAGTGTATATAACCAGTTACTGAGGGACTTAAGAGAAATTTTCTTCAAACACTCAACACCAATACATCTTTGGCATATACAAGCTCTGGACAGGTTTAGACAAGTCCAATCAATTCTGTGAGCAAGTGTGCCCAATGCATACACTGATCATAAGCACTCACTGTGGCTCATCACATCTCATCCACAGAGAAGATACAGATTTAAGCCACTCAGTAAAGAGAAATAGACAAAATCAAAGATTTGAATTCATGGAAAGAAAAACAGCTGAATATTGTGTACAAGATTGTATTGCATGGTAAACTCTTCTGCATCACTATGGGGCTGAATCAAGAACCTGGGACCATATGCACAAGCATGGCTTTAAACCCCTAGGCAGGTTAGGAGTTGGGCACTGGTCACTTACTCTCCTACCTGTCAAAATACCTCCTGGTAGCCCTAACTTGATCAAACAACACATTATTTATTGCATTTGTTTTTGACATGGCCAGGCTTTGGCCTTATCTATTACATAAGCAGGCACATGACCAAGCATGTGATGGGTCTGGACCATGACATCATATGACACAAGGATCACACAATATGGCATGCCTGTATTACTAAGTACTGTATCATTTTGACCTTAAATTCATAGTGGCATGAGAAACAACCTAAGTGAGGCACTTACCATAACCGGATGACCCCCCTTTGAGGTTTAGAAGGTTGAACCGGGGGGACATGAAGTTCACATCCGGGAGGTGGACACCGGGCCTGAACTCAAGCTTCTTCACAAGCTGCCCCGCAATGACCTCAACATTTTCACCCGCATCTCATGGTTATTTGGAGAAAATGACAAGGACAATGACCATCCCAAAGATGACATGTTTCAAGACAACAAGACGAACATGGACCACAAGTCCAAACCATTCAACAGCGATGGGGATTTGATGATGGTACTTGGATGGAGTCCGGTGACATGATGTCTCAACATCAACATTGACTCGCTCTGCTTACCTGATGCCAAGGACTTGGGCCAGGGAAAGCGTCATCGTGTTTCTAGCAAGTATTTTGACAGTTTTTAGGCCATTAGAGCATTTTGTTGTGCATATCTCATTTTTTCTACATAATATACAGGATTTTTTGTAATTCTACGGGATGTCTACCCTACCAAGTTCAAAGCCCCTCAAAAGGGGTGGACTGTCCACCCCCTGGAGGTTCAGTTCAGAGGGGGGGTGAACAGGTGGACTGAACTCAAGGTCAAGATAGCACAGTACTCTGTATTCCTAATTAGGCAGGAGCCCTACCTGTAGTTACATGGTCTGTGCACAGCTGTTCAGTAGTATATAAGACTGCAATTGATGACCCAGAACTCCAAGAGAGTTCTTATGGGATTTCTCCTTAGCTGTGTTTGTAAACCTAAGTCTCAAGTTCTCTAGTTAAGGCATCTACTTCTACCCAAGCCCCATCTAGGGTTAGGGTTAGTCTTTCTCATCATCATCACTCCTTGTTTGCGTGTGCAGTGACTCCCCCAGTTAAGGGTCGCTCACACTACCTGCCAGGTTTTTTTGTGTATACAGTTATATTTCCCATTGTTGTTTTTTCATATGTTAGAACATAATGGAGAATCATCCTCACAAACCCTATGAGAGAAAACAGCTGTAGCTGAACCAGCCCCTATTAGCAGAGAGCCATCTGCTGAGCCTTTTCCAACAAATTTGCACAAACACCATCCAACAATATACCTCAAGAGAAACCCCGTGTAAAATCACTGTGGTCCTCAAAATCCAGGCAGCACTCACCAAAGAGTGTGAACAGATCTCTGAGGCCATGTATAAAAACACTCTTAAGTTGTATTGCACCCTGCTTGACACCCATGAACACTGAGCCTGCAAATCTGTTGTTTGAGAGAAGCAGAAAGCACCTGAAGACTCAATCAGGATGCGCAACTCTCAAAAGTCTGCAGAGTTGCAGTTTTGCTGACAGAACTTGTCTGTCATGTTGTACTTGTTGCAGAAATGGAAAATATTGACAGATACACCAACAGTGCCCCACCATGGGTTGTGTATTGCCTGCTTTTTGGCCTTGCAGACAGTGTTGTATCTCCAGTGCTTAGGTTTCTGAGCACTGGGGATACTGAAGACATCTTTGACCATCTTCTTTTAATTAGAAGAAGCTGAAACACACCAATATGTTTAAAACCACCTCAGTGTGATTGAACATGGCTCAAGCAAGGATAATATCACACAGCTGAACAATGGTAACCTTGCAGCAGGAGCACCTATGTGCAAGGAGAATTCTGAGGTGCTTGGGAAGCTTGGTTGGACACTGTGTCTGTGTATGTATCATCGGTAACACCAACATTCACTGGGTTTCTGTTGATGTGCTAAATGAGGTTCCTATTGTTGTCATATGCAAAAAAACTCAACAGCATCTATGTAGAGATTGTCATTTTTTGTTGTTGACATTGTCGCTAATTGACACTTCTTCTTGTGTTATTTTGATGCATACAAGTCAGTTTTTTTTAATTCACACATAGACTTGCCTTGCTTCCAACTTCAAGTTTCCATGTCCCAATGTTCTTCATCTTTGCAGGTGCTTTTGGTCCAATTGGTAGGAACAATGGGGTGGGGACAATTTTGACAGCACATATATTTGTGGAGTGCCTGTGCAATTTGCACCAGTGGTCAAGCTTGCTCTTGAAAAAGTTTGTGCAACAATGGTACTTGCAAACAAAGTTCATCAGTTACAGCTACCTGATGTTTCCCTGACAGTGCATGAGCTAAAGAACTATGACAAGAATGAGACTTGCAGTGCTTGATTCCCTCTGGTGTTTGCTCTTTAAAAATGCATATGGAAGATCTTGAGTGTGCCTTTGCTCCCAAAACAATTGCAGTGATCTATATGCCTGCAGACATTGATTGAGATTATTTACATGATTTGCCACAGAGGGGGGGGGGGGTTGGCAATAAGTGCTTTTGACATTGGATTTGAATAGAGCTGGCATCTTGTCTGACCATGCTTGCTTGGCTTTGAGCAGGGTGCAGCCCAGATCTTGAACATTGTCAAGTGTAACACCTGCAATGTTCTCACAGTCAATCATTGAATTAAGTGAGTATGCTCCAGCACTGTGGTCATTGACAAACCAAAGCTTATTAAAACCTGGTTTTGGTACAGCATGAATGGGAGTTGAATACATGCCCAGGAGCAAATTGGGTTCAAAACTTGGTGAGTAACAATCCAAACAGACCTCTGCAACTTGTGCATGCAAGAAGTCATGCTGCTCTGTGCTAGGTGCAGGCCCTTGCTCATGATCCCATGTAAGCAGGTATTCAAGTGTTTTTGGCCTGACATGGGGCCAGAAACCAGCTTGAAAATTGTCATACACTCACATGATAAAAAGCTGGTTTGAGTGTAACAAAGAAAATGCTTGAAGTAGTTGATATTGATGGGAGTCACAATAAAGAACAAATCAGGGTGGCCAGAAATAGTCTGGAGTAGAACTGTGAAAGCAGGTGCTGTTGTTGTAAAGGTGGCAGTACTCTTTTTTGCTTGATCTTTTGCTCCTTCCTGATGAACTGGATAATGGTGTGGTGCTGTTGAGGTCTTGCCTTCCAATATTGAATAGTTGGGTTATAGAAGCATTTGGTGGTTTAACTTGAGCATTGTTGAACAGGTAGATGTATGGCTTGGTTCATTTCATTCAATCATCTGAGAAATAATGCTAATATGGTACAACTTTTTCCTTGATGAAATGGTTTGCCTTTGTAATGTAGATGTTATTGCATTGCTCAATAAGAAGATTTCAACCCTACTTACTCTCCTTATTCACCCCCTTGCACAGACCAGTTAACTTAGTTTCTTGTACACTAGACAGCTTACAGCCATGTGCATAACTAATGGCACTCATGCAGAAATGGAAATTAAAAAAGTCATGTGATGCAGATGTTAGGTTGGATACTGCTAGAGAATCCAGCCACACCTTGTAATTACATCTACATGAACATTATCTTTCTCTCCCTGATATTATAATCCTATACATGCTCTGATGTCCAAGACCAACAAACTTGTGCCACCCTTTGACAGTGACAGTGACAATGACAGCAGCAACCCGAGCCAGCTGATGGAGCAGGACAATGATGACCAGCAGTTGGCATCCAAAAGCAACAAACATACCAGTAACAATCGTTGGGTTACCATTATGAAGCCTAAGATTCAAAAAAAAAACTCAGATACTTCTCATGTTCTTTTGTTGGTTCACATTTGTATTGGTACCCAGGTGATAATAACACTGCACCCAATCCCACCATTACAATCATCCTCAAGATCCTGTCCCTTGCTAAGGTGAAAAAAGCCAAGACTAAGCATGTTCCAAATAACAAAAGCTTTGTATATCAGCTTCAAGACAGCCCTGCAAACCATGAGCCTGGTGATGTCTGGGAAGTGTTCAAGCTTAAAATCTTGCAGTGTATCAAGGAGGCACTATGACATCAAGTTCTATATGAAGGGCCTTGAAAAACCCAGTCTCTCTCTTGTTGAGTTCTCCAATTTTTCTGTCCTACTTAATTGTGCTAAGAAGCTAGCAAAAAAGAGTCCTCTAGACCCAACAGTCTACTTCACTGTTCACAAGTGCAGCACTGACAATGACCCAAAGTCAGATTTGGATTGAAACTTGGATGGAGATGATAACACAGGAAGGCACAGGACACAAAAGGTCAGAAGGGGAAAGAGAACTCTGCTCATGGCAAGGCCAGCAAGGCGGTGAGTGATTGCAATTCTGAGTGACTATTATCAGCAAATTCCCACAACAATTGTGAGCAGTTGTATGTAAAGAGTGATCATGAGAACAGTTATGGTCAGATTTGGCACCTTTTTGTCGCAAATTGAGCTCAACAATGATTAATCTGAGATTGACATGGCCCAGTTCTCTTATAGCATTTCACAATCAATAACAACCCATTTCACAACATTGCAAAGATAAGTTTCTCCATTGTTAGAGTGCATGGGAGGCACAGTGTGCCCAGCCAAGGCTACAAGTGGTGTCAGGTTAGTACTACAATATGTGAAGCACAATCACAGTGGCTCTGTAGATGCTGTAAAAATGTAAGAATAGCCCCAGGGTTAATTTGAGGAAAGAAGGTCAATAAATGGAGCTGTTTTAGACTATTTTGGATTTTTGGGTACATGTGTTTCAAATCTTGGTGGCAAGAATTTCAAGTATGTGCCTCTGGACTTAGCCATATCTCAGGATGCTTCAGAGAAGCAAAAAAAACATGTCTGGCTGCCACATGATGCTGTGCTGGCAAGCATCCAGCCCGGTTCTTTGTTTCTCAATCAAATGTTGATAATACAGGTGGTGATCCCACTTATACCTCTTCTGACTTTGATTCTGAAGAAAATCTCTCACACAAAGAAGAAGATGTCCAAAATGAAGTTGCCAAGAGTGTGGAGGCCCTGAAGGCACTATTCTAAGGCACCCTCTGTAAGTCAAATACAGGCTACAACAACATGTTTATTATTCTGACATGCTATTAATAAAATGAACTAGCTTTCCATCTATCATGGGGACTCCAGAACAACCAACTGGTGCAAACAAAAACAGGAAGAATGAGCTGCAAAGGGCAGTCTAAAAATAAACAGCTTCCCCCCCCCAAAAAGGACATCATGATCCTCTCTGGTGATGAGGCAATCTCAGACCTGGAACCAGATGAAACACTGGGGTTCTCTGTCAACACGGGCCTGGATTTGGCCAATATATATGCTACTCACCTTGAGAAATGGTTAACCAGTGACTCAGATGAACCAATGGTTATTGAAAATGAATCTGAACTTGAGGTCTGCACTCATTTATGATATCTACCTGAAAGCACACCTATCAGAATAACAGGCTAAAATAGACAGTGCCTCTGAGTCTGGAGACTCCAACTCTGACAGCAGTGGCACCACAGCTACACCTGGGCTCAAAATGGAGGGAGATCGGCTTGATATGGATGAAGCCAAGATAGGGGCAGAAGATATTTTTACAATTGTGGACCAGTGCCTGAAAGAGGTGAAGCAGCTCAAAAGTCAACACATGGTCAAAGCCATCATGCAGCTCACAGCTGTTTCACTGTATATCAAACTATATGACCCAGCCAAATGGCAAGCCTTGCCATAACTCAATGCATGGGGAAAGGCACATACTTTGTGCGTCAGATTAGGTTTCTCAAGCAATACCTTGTGAAACACAAGTTGCTTTTTCTCCTCAAAAGACAGCAGCTTATTGGGGTCAGGCTTCACTTCTGGATGTTGAAGCAGTAGTTCTTGCAGTCCAGAGATATCTTGCAGTCTAAAGTCTTGGTTCAATCACTCTGCTTGAGCTTATACATCATATCAACACCATCATTATCCCTGCTCTTGACTTGCCTGGTAACAACCAATCAATCACAGAGTGCACAGCACTCAATTGGATCCAAAAACTTGGTTATCAATCACAGGATTCCGAGAGAGGAATATACCATGATGGTCATGAGTGTCCAGATATTGTTGAAGTACAGAAGTTGTTTCTTGAGAAAATTGGATTTTATGAACAGTGAGCCAGCTTGGTAACCATACAGGGGTAATATTAATGAAACCCATAGGTTCATGACAAAATACAATGATGAGACATTTCAGCCCCTACCCCTGAAACTCAAGCCCGGTAAAGCAGAACATGTTGCACTTCTCCAGGATGAGTGTGTCTTCCACAGCATTGAGTATTGCCAAAGGATGTGGCTCAAAGAGGGACAACAGCCCCTGAAATCAAAAGGAAACAGCCATGCAACTCATGTCTCTGATTTTATATTGGAAATGACAGGTCAGCTTGCATTAACAAAAGCGCAGATTGCTGACCAAATGAAGCTTCCCCTGGATCAGCAGCTGTACTCATTTGAGGCAAGACCCTGGCAAAAACCACAATGCTTGGTGGGATCTCCCTCAGCTTATGAATCAAGTGGTCGATGCTGTGGATATCTTTGAGTATACTCATCTCACAAAGGTGGCCATTTTCATCTTCAACTGCTCATTAGCTCATAAAGGTCTGGCCCCTGATGCACTCAACATTAACAACATGAATATTGGACCAGGTGGCAAGCAAAAGCACTTGCAAGACACAGTTATTCCCCTTTCAAACCCCCCTCCTAAACCAGGACACTCCAATACTTGGGGAATGAAGCAAACTTTGGTCTATCCAGACAACCACTCCAACAAGACTTTAGCTGGGCATCCAAGAAGGATTAAAATGGTCCTTGAAGAATGTGTTTCTGTTTGGGATGAATACCTTGCCAGGAATAAGGGTTACATTGTTGATTGTTATGCCTCATGCAAGAAGTCTCAGGTATATAAAGATGCTGAGTGTCAGGTTGCTCGAGCCAAAGCTATGGGCCAAGATGGTCATCTAACAGAGGAAGATGTTACCCAAGCCTCTGTGGTGGAGAAAACAGCTGCAGATACCAACAACTGGTGTTGCATGATACAAGTGCTTTTACTCCAGGAGGACTTCTGCAATGAAAAACCAATGCCGCAGACTTATATCAAGAAACAAGGGCATGTATGCCTCTTCCTGCCAAAGTTCCACTGTGAACTAAACCCGAAGGAGATGGTTTGGACTTATGCAAAACTCTGTGACACTCTAACGATTCAGTGCTTTTTCCATAAATGCTGGTGCTACATGGATGCTTATAGGCAAGATTTGTATGCATCAATTTGTTTAACCTGTTCTCACTTTGTTTCAGACAGGGTCTCAACTTGAAACAAGAAGCTTTTGCAGTGAAAAAGTATCAGTCTCACCAGAGGATTAATGGGGTAATTGTTGATTTTCTCAAATCAAGCCTAAATACTGCCAGCATCTTAAAGCACCTCTAAAAACATGTTTTCCATACTCAGACCCCTCATCTAAGTGTCCAACAGGCCTCTAGAGCAAGTTCTTGTACCATGTTTCAATTTCTTGGGGACAAAAAAAATCAAAACTTACATCTTGCCAAAAGCAATCAGCCAGTGCTAGAATAGAGCTGTTTGCAATTAATGACCTACATTTCAGACCATACAAGGCTAATCTCAATGTGCAGTTAGATTTCTGTGCAAGAACAATGTGAAGTGCCAAAAACCACCTTCTTACACTGTAGTATGTGATCATCCACTCATTCAATGAACTTCACTGCATTGTACATGGCTGAATTCTCATCACCCGCATCCAACACACTTGAGTGCCATTGTTGCATGTTGGCCTCAGCCTGCGTGTATAGCACAGACAGCCTCAGAGGCATCAATATGCAGTTGTGCACATTTGAACATGTCACAGTGGCTGGCAGTCTTTAAGTTCCGGACCTCTAAGCCCCTTGTCTGGCCCTTCAGCAGGCACCCCCAAAACCCTCGCCCCTCCCTTTCCCACCTACTTGTATCTATGGAGAGCACCAGCAACATCTGCATATACAGCCACTGCTGTGCCTCAGAGCAAGCATACACAAGACACACAAACCACTGCCAGGTCCACTTACAGCATGCAGCTCACATTTGCCAGCAAGGTGGTGGCATTGTTCCTGTATTTTCACATTGAAAGTGCACTCAATTTGCTCCCCTTCCTTGTCACCCTGCACATTCTGTCCATGGTCAACAATGTGAATGTCCATCAGGCCCTCAGAGGGCACAATCCACTGGCAGCAGCTCAATATCTGTGAACTTGGAGTTACTGGCCAACAATAGCATGATTTTGGAGGTGAGTTCCCTTTCCATTTCATATTTTTTAGACTAACAGAAGCCAAGAATAAGTCAGGCTCCACTGGTCCTCAGAGCCAGAGTGATGATGTGCACAACCAAGAGGGCACCACTGCCATGCAACTGGACTTGTATATTCCACCTCCTTGCACACCTTTAACACCTTCCCATACACTACCTACACCACTCACCACCTCTCCAGTAACACCTGATGCAGGCCTGCAGGTCACCCCCCCTTCAAAATACAGTGTTGCTCAATCTGTCAGAGACTGAGGCTCTCCTACAGCTTGGTAAACGACTTCATAAACTATCTTATAGAATGCATAAGATCATTGAGGATGCTCTCCTGGAAGTTCCTGGTCTTCTGCAGGATTTGGATTCTGATATTAACACAGAACAAAATACCTCTTCTCATACACCTTCGCATCTGGTAAGCAAACCATTTCACACTATTTGGAATTCACTCAGTTCCCTTTGCAAATACCACAGGCATCTGTTGTCTAGTATGCCCGACACAGATGCAGGTGTCAACTTGATGTGAGGTGACTCCATGTCTTTGCTGGCTGACCACCTATCACAGCTATCACATACACTTGAGCAGATCATTAACCCATACCTCAACTTAAGCTCATATATCTTGAATGGCTAGTTCTGGCTCTGTGGCAGGAGCAAGTCAAAGGCTGATTGTAAAGATCTTATCAAGCAAGTCCTGCTAAATCTATCATTCAATCCTGTAGACCTAGCTGGACTTAGCTTTAACTGGCTTGATCATAATGTTGCCAAGAGTTGCACCTCAGCCTCTGGTAATAGCATTGGGTGGATGAACCCTGCAGTCACCATTGGCATTCCAACAGGGGAGCAGCTTACCAAGTCCATGGAATACCAGAGGAACAATGAGTGCATGCATGCCCAGCAACACAGTGAGGAAGACCTGTATGCTACACCTTCCAGAACATTCTATTTTACTGTCCCTGATTTTCATCACTGAAACCTTTGTGCTGTCATTCAGGAGGTATTTTCTGGACCATCTTCAAAAGGCTTTCACTACCACCTGTTTATACTTTATTATCAGGCAGGCTCCAACTCAGCTTCTGAGTGTGTCTACCAAGATTTGTTTATGGTGGATGCATTTTTGGAAGCTAACTAAAACTTGCAGCAGTCTCCACTATAGCCCAGATGTGATCTTCCATGCACTGTAGCTGGCATCATGCTGTGGTCCAATACCACTCATGTTGCACATTTTGGCCAAGCAAAATTATGGCCAATCTACATGTTTTTCATGAATCAGTGCAAATATGAGCAAGGTTGGCCTTCATCACATGCTGGTCATTCTGTTGAATACCCCTCTGTGCGTGTTCTCATGGCTCAGTAAAAGTAGTAGCTACTAATTGGTGTGGCATTTGAATAGCTACCAGATTCAATTACAGACTCCATTTGCTGCCACAGTCATACAACATCTGCACCTCTCCTTGCACATTGCTATCAAGAGCTCTTCCATGCTTGCTGGGCATACCTCCTGGATGATGAGTTCCTCCATGCATATGAGCACAGCATTATGGCTGATTGCAGTGATAATGTTTGCTGATATTTCTACCTGTGCATCTTGACGTACTCTGCTGATTACCCTGAAAAGTATGTGGTAATTCACTTTTATCTGTGAGTGACCCTTAACTAGGGGAGTCACTGCACACGCAAACAAGGAGTGATGATGATGAGAAAGACTAACCCTAACCCTAGGTGGGGCTTGGGCAGAAGTAGATGCCTTAACTAGAGGACTTGAGACTTAGGTTTACAAACAGAGCTAAGGAGAAATCCCATAAGAACTCTCTTGGACTGGGTCATCAATCACAGTCTTATATACTACTGGGCAGCTGCACACAGACCATGTAACTAAACGTAGGGCTCCTGCCTAATTAGGAATACAAAGTACTTAGTAATACAAGCATGCCATATTGCATAATCCTTGCATCATATGATGTCATGGTCCAGACCCATCACATGATTAGTCACATGCCTGCTTGTGTAATGGATAAGGCCAAAGTCTGGCCATCTCAAAAACAAATGTGATAAATAATGTGTTGTTCTTCCAAGTTAGGGCTAGCAGAAGGCATTTTGACATTATCCGTGTGGAACATATCTCAGTGTGTTATAGGATTCTCATTGCCACAATGTTTGATTTGGGTTCTTGTCCATGCCCCAGCTGTGGTGTCAAAAAATTGGAGATACCTGGACTTACTCACATGGATCAAAAAAACTGTATAGTCCTTGCTTGGGTTGACAATGATGAACAATGTAACAAACACTGCAGAAAAACCACAGATTCTGACATGTGTGGATTGGAGATGGATTCACTGATCTGTGGGAGATTTGTTGTAGATCCTAGCTGCATCCTTTGTACCCCGCATCTATATTGAATTTACTCATCCACCGTTGATTCAACATAGGTCCTTGCTCATCTGGTAAATCAGACACGCACGGAAAATACTGATAAGTCATATTGCCCTTTACCATGTAAATAATAGGTCACAATAAATAAATTATTGTTTGATTTTGATTCTGCGTGATTTGACGTGCCTGCCTCTGCATGTCAGACTTAGTCCTCATTGCCATCATCTCTCTCTGTATTGGCATGCATATACAAATGGTTGGAGTGAGTAATCAATTTACTGATGTCTCTGGTGATCACCTTTCTCCCCAGATTTCCAACAACCTCTGTTTCTGCACATCACATGGATGCGGCACAGCAGGTGGTAAAGAGGTGACTACTTGCACAAAAAGGTGGCACGAGAGACGCAATGAAGAAGAATCAAAGCACAATGCACAGCAGAAGGTTATTGTAGTTGAGCCTGAGGTTGTCATCTCAGCTCGGTCAAGCTTGCCTGGAGCTACAACCACAAGAACTGAATGCTTGTACACCAACACCAGCCCAGAACACGCAGTGCTGCAAGATCTCTCACAGAGCAGCCTGGAAATGGACAGTTTTGATATTCTAGACAACTACACGATCTCTAACAGATTTGACACTGAGGAACTTGACAAGGATGCAGTCCTTGATCCCCTACTTTCATTGTTATTGCCATCATCTCTGCTTTGTCTATCCTTGTCTCCTGAGCTTAAGCCACTGCTGCTGCTGCTGCTGCTGCCACTACATTCCCTATCCAAATTACCTCTATTCTCACCCCCTCTTGTACACTGCCACCTACTGAGTCAGGTATGTATTTATTTGTCAATGTCTGTCTAACTAACATGAGCTACATGCTTATCAGATGAATCAGACAAGCCCAAGGGCCTTCATGCTCACCTGATTTCCCTTGTTCCCACATTTGAGCAGCTGAAGGAGCTACAACTTGCATATTTGCAAGTTGCAGCCACATATATACTTGGTTGCTTGACAGTTGCCGAGGCTATGCAACAGCTCAAAAATTGGCACAACCTTCTCAAAGAGTGCAGCCAGCTCCTTGTCTACCCTCCTCCCTGTCAATCAATTGCAACCCACAAAAAGGACCTCGGACTGTCAATCAACAACTTCATTTGTTAAATTCCCGTCTGCCCTGACTGCTTCCGTCATTTTTTCATACGATGAAGTTAATGCTTTTTGTCTCCAGCTTGCCCAACTTGGCACTGTAAAAGTAGGATCTACCAAGTCAAGCGGCCTCACCCAGATGATGACATGTCCAAAGAATCTCATCAGAACAAAAAGTGCATACCGGAGAGTATACTCATATTTTGTCCTCTCTGTTTGACACTCAAGTGGTTCTCCTTACGAGCCTCCTTTGTCAACAGTCTGTGTGACATGTCTTTGGACGAGCACTGCCCTCCTCCAGCCAAAGATGACCCTATGCACAATATATACAACAGCTCTGAATGGAGTTGACAAGAACTTGAGCTTAAACAAATTTTCCACCCAGATGGACAGGTAGAAGATGTTGAAGAGCGTGCAGGATCTTGTCACTTATTGTTCTTGGGTGATGTTGGGCTGAGCATTGCCATGAATATTGATTAGTGCATGATCCATTGGTACTTATATGCTGGTATCTACTAACGATTGAATAGGTTTGGCATCACAGACTCCTGTCCATACTCAGTTGGTGCTGTGTACATCTCCTTCAACAATCACCACTGCTCCATTCAATTTCTTCCACACAATACCCACCTTGCCATGGCCATACCTGGGCCAACAGAGCCCAGTCTCAAGGCCCTCAATTTCTGTTTGGCACTGCTCAGAGATGAGATTTGTGAGCTATACAAAGGTACAAATTTCAACTACATTATACTGCTGCTTATACTACTTCAATAGGTGTTTATATGCATGTACATGGCTTCCATCTGCCTCAAGAAGTCACCGTGAATCTCCTTTGCAAATGCGCCAACATCCCAGCCACTTGCAAAACAACAGGCAAAGCAAGTCATAGCTATAAAACCCACCCATGCAACTATTGCTTTGTCACTCTCGAAGACATTAATGCAGATGGAGCATATGATATTGATAGTAAGTGATGATCCCTTCATTCTCAAGTATACTAATTTCTTCCAGCAAATTTCTGCATGCGGAATGACTGGAACCAACTTAAACAGGCGCAGCTATCAACACTGGCCAGATCAATTGCCGCACGCAAGGCTGTTATCAACATACACAGTGTTTGTTACTCAGCACTCAACAATCTCCCCAGATGGATGACAACTGCTTTGTCACTGGTCAACTTTATGCATAATTTTTACCATGATTTTTCTATTCTATACTTCATCTATTGCTATGCTTACTGTAATATGTGTGGGAATAGTCAAGTGAGTATACTCTGACATAATCAAATGTCGATACCAGCAATGCACTTTATAAGGATACAATTAACTCAATCATCTGGCCATCATCCATAGGCCATCTACCAAGTAATGTGCATACTACCTTTTACTAATCTCTTGAACTTGCCTAACATTCATGCATAGCTTGACAGCAATCACTCCTTACCAAAAGCAGACCAATGGCGCCATTTATGCCATGTCCTGCCGTACATGCTTTGGATCTGCTGGAAAAATACATGGGGCAAGATCAGATCTGCCTATCAAACCAAACCCAAAGTTTCATACAACATGGCAGCGTGATCTTTGACAGATCTACCAGCTGGTGCTGTATCTTGCTGTTGCTGAGTGCACTCTTGCGCATCATTCCATCTCTACAGCCACAGTCAAGGGTACATTCAACTCTATTGTCAAGGTCTACAAGCACTTAGTATTCCCCTGACCGTCAACCATCACCTTGCAATGTATTATTCAGAGGTCTTGCAGCGGTATGGTCCAGTGTACACATGCTGGCTATTTGGTTTTGAGTGTTTCAATGGGCTCTTTGAGAAGGTAAATCTAAACAGCCACAGAGGAGGGGAAATGGAGTACTCCCTTGTGCGCAATTGGGTTGAAAAGCAGCACCTTCACAAACTTGTAAGCGTCATTTTTGCTCTTAATTCATATTTTCAATATTGTATGCATGTCGAGATGATATTTTTACCCAAGAACGCATCAGAGAAGGAGCATCAGCTTGTGGACAGGGTTATGCACACAAAAGGTTTGGACTGCGGGACACTCAGTAACCAGACATTACAGTTCATGGGTGGTGAGTTCTCATTCAATGATTCTATTCTCATTTGTGCATGATCCACTCCAGGTGGTACAGCTGTTCCACCTCAGACATCCAAGAAATCAACCAACCTCCATAACCTTGCTCATCATCCCAAGGTCTACAAACTCATTCTCTACTTTCTGCAGTCTCACACACCACTCTCCCACCTCACAATTGTCGACAATATGACAGGTGGACCTGATGTAACAATAATCTCTGCATCATCTGTGATCAAGGTCCATCCCTTTTTGATTGTCTATGGAACTCAACATGGGTCAGTGTACTCTTCTAGAACCAACACAGATGAGTTTGCTGGCATACAAACTGACAATGGCCTTGCCCCATGCAAGGTACTCTATCATTTTGAGGTAAATGTACCCAGTGTTGCATCTTCAGTCTATTGTTCAGCAATCCAGAAGATGCACCAGGGCAACAATATCCCCAGTATGCCATGGGACTGATTGTGAGTAGTTTCTGTGATATCTTTCATTCACTGATATTGCTTGTATACTATACCAGTGTGTCAGACCTTGGAGCAACCATGGTGCACAAAGGTCTTTATGGAGGGCTTGAGGTTGTCTCTTTGACCTGCTTGGCCTGCCCGCTCTTTGTAATTCCCTTGCTTGCCATTCACTAATCAGATAGTCTGAGACTCCACTCTGGGTGACAGTTTTCTGCAACAAGGTGGGCAAACACCTTTTTCACTAATGTTCAATACTGACATATCTATCAGAATGACCTTGAAGCAGACAACACAATGCTCAATTAGTCAATGCTGCACATAGTACCAATCTCAAGACTTTTTTTGATTAGTTCAACAGCCACTAGTACAGGTACAGTTTTTACTTAAAGAGTGCATTCTCATTCATTCTATTTAAAAGACTACTAATTTTGCTTGCTGTGTCCTCAACCTTAGTCTTTGATGACCCGCCAACAGCCAGCCTCTTGTGAATGATCGGCTTGGCAGCAGCAGGTTTGTCCACTTTCTTCTTCCCCTTCCTGTCCTGTGGCTTTGTAACACTCTCGTCCTGCAGCTCCAGATTACCCCATGCCTTGCCACTATAGGCAACTTTCTTGGAGGTAATCTAGCTCAGATTTGCCTTCAGGATTGCTGGATTAATCATCCACAGCCGTAAACATGTTTTGACTGTTGTCCCTTCAGTGTGACTCAACTGGCTTGGTGTACAGCTCACGGACATGTTTGCACATCTTTTTTGCACAATCAGGGTTGGGGTCAGGGACCAGATCAATGCACTTGAGATAAGTCTGGAGCTGAACAACAGTAAGCTATCTTATTATTGTTTAAGTCTGACTAATAATTTACAGAGTCAGATCTGAACTGAGGTGCAACAGAAATATACTTCATCAGACAACCAGGCATGGCATCTGGGTCATCCTTATCATCTGACATGGTGTTGATGCAGAGTGCCCCATTGTACCTGGGATTTTTTAGATCCTCAGGACATAACAGCGAGTCACGCTTATGAATGCAACTCTCCAGTTTCTGCAATAATATGTGAGTACAATTTCCACTCTCAAGTGATGTTAACACTTACTTCTTTGACACACAAAGCCATGGCCTTGCAATCTGGCACTTTGGGCTTGACATCACCCAGATTGTCATTATCGGCACTGGCTGGATGATGTTTGCAGTATTCTGCTGCCATTGAAATGAATTTATCTCTGACCCTAGCCTCAATTTTGCCAGCAATGATTGAATTTATCATATTGGTGACCTTCTTGCTATGGCTCGTTGTTATGGCCTTCATCATTCCAACCACCTTCTTGCGGCCCTCCATGTTTGTAACAGAATCAGACTGCCATTCACGCCAGTCAAAGTGCACAAGCAGCTTGCTTGTGGCTTTGTCTTTTGGCCAGTTATCATGACAGTTATCCATGCCAAACGGGTATGGTGGTAAGTGTGTTCCTGACAGCTTTTTTGTTTCTAAAGCTTGTATAAACACAGTCAGCATGATATCCTGCACCCAGTGTTCAATAAATCATCATTTAAACAATGCATGTACAATGATTAATCACTCACCCTGAACACCTTTGACTCTAGTGCCTCTTCACTCTTTGTGGCAATAGGATCATTGTCCTTTTCTTTCACTGCTGTAGATGCTGCTGCTGACACACCCAATGCTGCTGCAGCATCTGATGGTGAAGGGCCACTAGTGCTCGGCCCTCCTTGCTTGTTTGTAGCTCTGGTCTCACTGCCCTCATCGTACTTGATCCCAAAAGCTCCTTGAGGAACTGGAGCTGGTCTTGTTGCAGCTTGTCCTTGGCCTCAAGCTCCTCAATCCTTGCTATGACAGCCTGGTACTTCTGGTACAGGACCTTGAACTTGGTCTTGTACTCGCTCTGGCTCTATGTGGCTATTACTCAGAGATTTTCAACCTTCACGGACAGTTTCTCATAGTCAAGAGCAAGCATGTTCAGCTTGGTTATATTGTCTGACACTGGTGCTTTTGCGGACAAGCTCTGGGGGGATTCATGGGTGGAAGAGAGATTGCCAGTGCACATCAATTCTTTTCACATCTCTCAACTCTTCCTGGGCCTAAACCAGTGCTATTTGGGTTTCTCTTCTACTTTACATGATGTCTCTATGTACACTTCAATACTAGCCATGCTTTGCTGTTATTTCAACAGAAGGAGAAGCAATTTTGAGGGAATCACAAGATGCAATAGGGTAGCCAAGTGATAAGGAAATAATATGAATTTATCCTGTACAGGGGCTTGGTTAGCTTTTGCAACAGTGCATTGCAGATTTTGTGAGTGACGGATTGAGCACACATCTATTGTGAGTTGACCTCAAATCTGTGAAAAATTTGACCATTTGCCCTGGATGCATCATGTGACAGACCAACATCGGATTCGGGACAAATCCAGCTCCAATCAGTGAATCCACAGCGGATCTGCGCATCTTGGAATCTGTGGCTTTCCACAGTAAAAGTGGAGACTGTACATGACCTTGTCTACTGCAAAGGCCTTGCCACAACCAACACTCAAGTTGAGCAACTCCTGAAGCCTCAGTTGTTGATTCTGACATCTGCATGTGCTTTCTTTCTCACCAGTATTATATACTAACTTGAGCACAGAATGTGTTCTCCCAACTCTTGAAGTTTGGGTTCAACCTTTTCAAGATGTTGGCTGTGGGCCAGATGCATGAGTTTGAGCTTGGTGTCTGGAAGTCACTTTTAATACACTTAATCTGTATCCTCTTCTGATTAGGCAACAAAACTGTAGACAAGTTCAATGAAAGGTCAGTCCTATAATTGCTGGTGATCATGTTAAAGCCTTTTTGAACAATCTGTTATCTGACACTTTGCACATAATGTAGCTGATTTGGCCAAGCTGTCCACCCAAATTTTCAAAGATATCTTCAGATGATGTATTCTCCTTTTCATTGCCCTCATTGTTGCTAATATAACCACAGTACTGTGTACCGTGCTTTGAAGGGCTATTCCCTGCTCCTCATGACAAAACCATACAGGAACTTCTCTATGTGATGTGCTATTGGCACGCACTTGCCAAACTGCATCTCCATACTGAGTCAACTCTCCAGATCATGGGTGGTGTTACAGTCTTTCTTGGACAGTGTTTACATTACTTTGCCAATGATCCATGCAATGATCCATGCATGCAGACTCTTAAAGCAGACTGGGAATAATGAGTGTGTGGTTGTGTCTTCCAAAAATGAGTTACCCAGGTGCCATCTGGCAATTTATTGACTCTGATATTGGGCGGAAAGTGGCAAAAGTACATCAACCTTAAAACAATCAAGCTCCACTTCCTTGGCATCTATCTCCATCACATTTGAGAGCATGGTACCAACAGCAGCTATGCCTCACACATAGTAAGGCTGGCAATTTGCATACAAACTTTGACACATTTGAACTCCTTCATTATTAGGGCAAGTGCTAACACATGGTTGAAGGGTTGGAATGACCAAACAAAGTTAAACAATGCTGTCCCTCAAATCATCAACATTGAACTCCTTGAAGGTGCTTATAGGCGCATGGAGCATGACCTTGCTGACTGGCAAGCGGCAAAGGCAAGGCTACAGGGGTACACTAATACAAATACAGACAATGGTGACATTGCTGCACCACACTTGCTGGAGAAACATCATGTCGTTGCTGCAGATGAATCAGGATCTACCTCCAGGGCTGGCTTTATGAATGCCAAAATGATCCTGCATACAAGATACAGTAACTCTTGTGCCCAAAAGTGCAGTTGCTAAGTAATGTCAGAATTTCATTTGTGACCTCAAACACCACTACCTTGCACGCAAAAAGGAGTTGTCTCCTTATGACAATTCCCATGCTTTTGAACAAGATGAACTCAATGGTGCTGCAATCCAGTATAGGCATATATTCTCACATGCCATATTTCAAGTCCACTACACCTCTTATGACATCCAATGCCAGCAAGATTCTATCAATAGCAATAGGCCTTGGTGCACAGTGATGGTCTATGCCTATGAAGACAATATTACAATGTGTAACTGGTACTGGTATGCATGAGTGCTGGGTGTCTATCATGCCAAAGTCCACTATGGTTTGGGTAAACCTGAGCATTTTGAGTTTCTTCATGTGTGCTGGTTTGGTAATGATCCCAAATGGGAGGGAGAGCCCAAATGGTTACAGCTGGATTGCATTGGATATGTCAATTTCAAAGCCAGCATTAACATTAGTTGCTTGCCAGTATTTGGGTTTGTGGACCCTAACAACATCCTCTGTGCTTGCCATTTAATCCTAGCATTCTTTCCTGATATGACCACTGAACTCCTACCTCCATCTTGCACACATGATGCACCTGACAGTGATTGGCTTAACCACTATGTCATGTGGTGAGCTTGCTTGACCCGCTAAATTGGCATGTACATGTATCTGAACCTGACATATCTCTAGTTTTGTGGATCAAGACATGATGATGTAGTTTTTGGAATTGGGCATTGGGCATTCAAATTCCCCTGGATTCCTGATGAGGGCAGTTGATCTTCAGGTGTTGCAAAAAGAGCCACATTAGTTGGATATTGTGGAGTCAAACACAGCAACATGTGTCAGCAACATCAACAATGAGGAACAAGATGATAACTATGAATTTTAAAACAAAGAAGGTGGCAACTCAGAGTTGCAGCAGGAAAGCATGTATGAACTATTACCAGTGACCACAGATAGTGTATTCTACGCTCATTGCTACTCATGATCAATACCAGACAGATCAAAGTCTTGCACAAGGCAAGCAAGTGTCACTTCACCAAGGAGCAGGAGCATCTTACATCAATGATTGCTGAGCTTGAGGATAGCTGAGCTCAAGAAACCCTGGGCCTGGGGATGTGGGCCTTGCACATAGAAACACACTGAGCAAGACTGGGCAGTTGCTGTGCACCTTGTTTGTGTGGCAAGGAGTGACTGCATTGCATGGTCATGCAAGGCACTTGGGTTGTGCACAGCCACAACTGTGTTTGAGTTCTTCCTCTTTGCCATCACTGCAGGCTTGAGTGTGGAGGGATGCAATGTGGATGTTGGACTCAGATGTGTTAATGCCAAGCATGCTTGCACCAAGGCTGGCTAGGCTCTATATTGCATCAGATTAATATACATTTGGTTTTTATTGTGAAGGGAAAGGGGAAGCACACCTCGGACAGCAGGCCTCTGCCACACCCAATGTCCAGCACATCCATCCCCTGCAGTGCCTGCCTGCTTGGTGCATGCACATCTACCACTGCATTGGCTGTGTTGTTGTGGGTGTTGTTGCAGGTGTTGATCCATGCAGTCTTGAGGATCTCGTTGCAGATAAAGTGGATGTGGGCAGGGTTCATGCAGTGGAGGAGGGCATACTTGCTGTGCTCATCCCACCAGTGGACAGAGAGGCAGGAGATGGGCACATTGGCAAATGTGGGCCACTTGGATGCAAGTCCATTGGATCTGTCTGAGCACACAACAGTTGACATGGAGTCAGAGCCACTGTCATATGTGTTGTTGTATGAGACACTGGATTGGGTGGACTGTGTGAGTGCTGTGGGCACAGCAATGGCAGCAAAGGCAATAAGGGCAGAAGTGGAGACAAACATGTTGGTTGGTGTGAATGTGAGCACAGGACAAAGAGGTGAAAGAGAGGTTACTACACCAGAAATTCAAGTAGATTTTCAGCCAGTCAAAACATAGTTAATATTAGTAATTTCAACCATATTTCAGCCATGTAACAGCAAATTGCCCACCAGCTGATTCTAAGTTGAAATAGGCACAATACAGCCAGCAATCAGCCACAATAGAAGTACTTTCAAGTGTTATATCAATTGCATTAGATAGAAGCTCAAGTGTGATACAGACTCATCAGCTATCACAATCTACCCTAATCAGGGAAAGCCCCTGAGTACTGCTTCTCTGCTAACTCTCTGCCTCCTTGTTGCTGTTCTCCCTTGTGTTCTTCCCTCCCCTCCTCTCCTGCAGCCACAGAACCAAAAACAGAGACAGAAAGATGTACCCCAATGCCAAACAAACAAGATGTGGGCAAAGAGAATCAGATAGAAGGTCAAGAAAGGGTATGGAAATGGGCAGCACCCAGGCAGCCGGTAGTGGAGGCGTGCAAGGACAGCATGGGAGTATGGGATGCGGTGAGCGTGCAATGCAAGGAGTAGAACGTGGAGGGCCTCAAGTGCGAGGGATGGGGATTGTTTCTGGATAAAGAATGGGACACTTTGTGCTTCCAGGACCTGCAGCACTCAGCAATGGCCAGGCTAGGACCTCTATGCCAGCGCATACACCCTTTAAGATGCCCCAAGTGCTCACCGCATCCCAGGCACAACCTAGGGAGGCCAGTGTCCCTCCACCCAGTGGAGAGAGGCCCTACAAGTGACTGCAAATGACCTCTGTCCCTCCAGGTGGCCAGATTACCTTTTGCAGCCTGTGGTTGTCAGCTGAATGTTTAGACAATTTGAGCGGGGCATGCACTGAGTTGCCTGATATCCCCATGAGCCCTATCTCTCTCCCCTCCCTTTCTACATCCAACTCCTCCCCATTCTCATACCCATCCATGCTCCCTTCTACACCTGCCGTGTTGTTTTCTGAGGGAGATCTGAATGCTGCTGATTTTAACCTTGTATCATGCATACAGCCTGCACAGCCATCAACACAGTGCATGCAGTCTGCGATGCAACCCGAGCTGCCTGTGCCACTCTTGATGCAGCCTAGTACACAGCCCCCAACGCAGTATGTGCAGCCTCCAATCCAGCACATACGGCCTCAGGCTGTTCTTGCGGCCATGCTGCGAGTACAGTCTGTACCTCTGGCTTGTCAGCCAATCCAGGCACCAAACCTGAGAGCAGCAACTCACGTGCCTCCACCAACTCCTTGCTGTCCGCCTGCCAGTCCCAACAGTGCTGTGCCTCCACGTGCTGCTGCTGATCAAGCCCCAAGATCAAGCCTGTCATTTGCTATCACCAACCAGGTTTCAAAGTATGAAAGCAAACTCAGCTTGCTCAACAATTGCATGGCTTGTGTCCATAACGAGGCCCATGCAGCTCAAGAGACTGCAAAACATGCATTGGATGAGGTGAAATGGGTTAGCAAAATTGCTGAGTGGCTGGATGGAGAGAACAAATACCTTCAAGAGTGGCTCACTGAGTATGTGGTGACCATGGACAAACACATTGCAGCAGGAGTGGAAGTGTCTGATGGGACATGTGTTTGGGGTAAAAAGAATGCTTTGCAGGTAAGGAAACTAAACTCGTGCTCACAATTCATCCTCACAGCGGTGATAGATGGCTATATGAGAGCAGTTCTTGAAGATACTCAAGATTATGGATGCTTCAAAAATAGCTGGCTACAAGGCATTAGAAAATGGAGCGTTAATTGATGACCAAGGGAATGCTCACCTGGATTTTGGCAGGTCTTGGACTCAGAACTGCAAATGACATGATCAAGTGGCCATGTCCATCTCAAATGCTATCAAGAACAATGTTGAGTGTGGGAAAGAGATGATGGAGGGGAAGAATGTTGGTGATATTAAGAAGCAACTTGCCGTTGCATGGAAAATTTGGACACAGGGTCAGTGCAGTGGTCAGGAGGGGAAGAAGAAGAGCCCCAAAGCAGAGTGTGAGGATCGTAGAAATGGGCAAAAAATAAATGTATGTAGATCATAGACACTCACCTGATTACTAAGCCAAGCTGACTGCTCTGCAGAAACTTGGTGCTTGCATCAATGTCCGCCCCGAGACCCAATGGATGCACAAGCACCACAATTGGTTTTTCACCAAGGGCATGCAGAGTACGGACAAAAGTGAGGATGGAGGCAAGAATTTGGGGAAGAGTCCAGAGGTAACATTTGAGAGTGATGGTAGGCAGGTTGATGACCTGAATAGAAAGGGAAAGGCAAGGGAGAAGGGGAAGGGGAAGGGGAAGGGGAAGGGAAGGGAGGAGGAGGAGGAGGAGGAGGAGGAGGAGGA